TAGATCACAAAAGCTCAATACACAAGTCCCATAAATCAAACAAGAACAATTATCATAGAAACTACGACATGAAAAAATATTAAACTAGCTAATACAAACTAGCAACTTGCCACAAATTCATACCTCAGCTGTAACGTGTCCCCTTTGATGTATGAAAACCATTTTGTTGTTGTAGCTTAGGCAAAATAGATTTTATTGTCTTTACACACAGAGTGCCATTTCAACAAAATACAATCAGTTTTTTTATATTTGCTTTGTTTTGTAAGGTTATTCTAAAGCGGTTATTCTAAACATTGCAGAATGTGAAAAATGTGGGGTTTAGGTTTGGAATAAACGTGTTCAAAATATTCCACAGAACACTGATGAAGCACATCTGCACAGAAATAAACCAGTCAGTGCTTTTTTTATTATTATTATTTTGGTTTTGTTCACAGAAAGTTGACAGTGAGTCTAAATTTGAAACAGTGCATGTGACAGAGGACGGTTCCAGTGATGCTGACCAACAATCAAACAAGAATTGTGAAAGAGAAACGTCCAAAGCAGACAGTGGAGTCTCTATTGTCAATACTGAGGAAACCTGCCATGCTGCTGCACAAGGTAATAATAGTTCCCTTATTTGATCTGCAGTTTTCAGGCCTACAAGCAAATGGATTCCTGCCCGACAAACACAAATACTGATAACGCTGAAGCAGTTCTTTCTACAGAAAGATAAAAACCAACAGGTGGATGCCATTCAGTGAATTGGTATGACAGAGTTTGGAAATAATGTCAGTATGATGTTTGGGTAAATTAAACTTCGTAATTTATCCTGTATAACCTGGATGAACTTTTTCTTATCAGTTTCTACGAAATTTACATACATGCCTTCAGAGAAACGTACAGTCAGAGCGACCTGCGGAGAATTGTACACACTGGATGGAAATTGAATGACGAGACTGATTATTTATCAGGCTTTATCATGTGTCAACACTTTCCTTAACTTAGCACTCAATCTGTGGTTTGTTTGTATATTCTTTGATGTGTCTCTCTAACTTGCCAAAAGCCTGAATTATTTTTGTGTTGTTTTTGTGATTTTGTACATGCAGTACCTTTTGTGTGTGTGTGAGTTTCGCTTACACATTTTGATGATTTCATTTCCTAGTGTCAAGGCACAGCACGTCAAAGCTGGCATGGTCAGAGTGCATGGACTTCAGTGATGCACAAATGTACATTGTTAGTGATCTGGGAGGCTTAAAGAAATTCCTCAATCAAGGACTTTATGTTTGGATTGAGGAGGAAAAGGTAAAGAAAATAAGGTTTGTGGGGTTAAACATTTAGATGCAAAATGTGTCAGGACTAATATTCTGACATTTGACATTTTAGGTCCTATCATGGCCTGCTGCTTCTGAAGATATCGAAGCAGCCAAACCCAGTCGAACTGTCAAAGAGAAGAAAGGCGGGAAAGGGAAGGAAGTGAGCTTAGCATTTTGTTCCTATTGAATCACAAACTGTAGACAGCCCTTGCATTGGTCAGCAGGTGGCCCAAATAACATAAGGATTATTGAGCCAATCTGATCAATAATCCTACCGGGATATCCTGAATGGTTCATTCACAGAATGGGGCATGAGGAGAATTACTGTATTACTGAAAATCTGGGCATGTTACTATGGCAACCAATGCGCTACAACTTAATGTTCACAGGCTGGTTTTCTGGCTCTAACTCATTTAAACCACCTCAGATGCTCTTAATACTATTAGACTGTGGCCAGAGTTTGTAAAGTTGCACTTTGTAGAGGGCAGTAGTCCTGTCTCTAAATGATTAATGTGTACGTTAGAATGTGCAAGGTTTAAATTGGGGTCGACAATTAACTATATTATACAAATTTAACATTGTTGCATTAGTTTGACATGTTTTAGGGAGGGTGTTGCAGTTTTTATATTTTATATCATTATTATATAATAACCCTGGAGAGGGCTGTGTTTTTGTACGATGTGAAACATAACGTTCAGCCTTCCTCAACATCCAAATACATTACACATTGTTCCTAAAAAATGTGGTCAATAACATGCAGTAAGATCACAGTCATTACATTTATTGCTCTGATGGAACTTATTTCTAATTTTTATTTAGCCCTTGATATCAGTCCTTTACATGTGACTCTCATGTCTTGTGTTATGTAGCTAAAGAGGATTGTTATACGCTGGTCTGGTTTGAATCAGATAAAATTAGACGACATCTAAACATTCATGTCATTGGTGTCTTCGTTAGTCTCCAATCAAATCTGGTACCACCAAAGACAAGTCTAAAGACAAAAAGAAGAAATCTGTCCCAGAGCTGGTGCAGGACGCCCCCATCAGAAGAAGCCTTGGCTCTGTCCACATCCCCCTGCAAAGCCTGGTGAAAGGACATCATAAGGTCGATGTCCTCTGTGACCTTGGTGCCCTGCGCACAGAGTCTGAAGTGAAAGCTATGACAACACTTGAAAAGGCAAGTTTACATGCAGAACTGGTGTCTACATAGCCAGGATGTTGCTAAGATAGTATGATCATTATATGTTTCATTTCTCTTTGAGTTACAAGAAACAACTGGGGTTCACATTGGCAAACACTCTAACAGGATTTCTGATGTCCAAAACAGTGACTCTGACTATGAAAGGAAGACAAACTAGAAACACATGGGGCGTCCTACATGATTATAAATTGTTAAATTGACGATTATTTCATTTGGTATATGTTTTTCACTCATCTGTAGGATCTGGGAAAGAAAATCAAAGAGGACAAGAAGACAGAGGACAAGGAATCAAAGCAGAGAGGAGGCAGTGGTACAAGGCAGAAGAATACAGCATCTTCAAAAGGTTAATAAGATCATTATCTGAATAAGTTCATCAGAGATTAGTTTTACAATGGCATTGGCATAAATAAATACTAGAAAATATGTCTGATAAAAGCACCACACCTCACCACTTTGGGAGTCAGAGCTGCTGTGGACAAACTATGATGTTATTCTGTGGTTGGCCTCATTATATTGTACATGTGGTTTATATCTAGTAGGGGATTTTAATGAAGAAGGCCAAAAGTGAGAGGCACACTTTGAAATTTAAAAACTTATTTTCTGTGTTTTGATTCTTCAGTCAGTAAACTCTTCTTTTCAGTCTCCTGAATCCTGTTCGATGTTGTGCTCTATAGGCAAAGGAAAGGGAAAGAAGGAGCGTGAGGTGGATGTGCACACAGACAACTCTCTATCTACCCAACTGGAACCAGTGACTGTGGAGTTGAGTGTAGAGCTGGAGAAATGGCAGTCTGCGTCTGAAGCTCACCAACTCCTGCTACCGACCCAGACCTCCTGAAACATAGAGCCTGTTTTATGTTAAAGCAAGGTCTTTATAATCTACCCACCAGAAAAAAAAAACACACACAAAATTTTTCTCCCTGCATTCCCTCATTACTGCTAACTATGAACATACCATAGAGTTGAACTGGATATTAAATTTATTACAATTTGATGTGGGCTGCGGATGTTGCTGCACAACTTTCCAGCCAAAATATGTTCTTCTAAATGCACTGGAAATAATACATTTCCATGATTAAGCCTACTTAAGCACTTCAGTGAAAGCAAAGAAATATTTTCAACCGAAAACCTAAAAGTAAAAGAGCAGTCATACTATTTGCTTTCACTTTACACGTGATGTCAAAATAAAACTGAAAAAGGGGGCACAACCAATCTGAAGGATATTAGTTTCCATTAAATGAAAGCTATTAAGTCACGTGTAAAAAACCAAGTAGCATAGTCCAACTGATGGACAACTTTATTTTCTAAACTGTCTAGATTGTCTTGCTACAAGTCTATTACCTGGCTTCATGATCCTATTTGAAACTTCAAAGTGGTTTAATGTCATGGTACATGCTAAGCACAGATTAATGTTCTGCACATACTTATGATACAGAAAGAAAGTCACTACTCACAAGGAGAGCGATGCAATGAGTTGAGCAAACATGTTTAAATCCCCCAAATTAGCATTTATAAGCAGTATACAAAAATTTAATAAATGTTTATAACACACTATGATCTAGTAGTATGCAGCTAAAAGGATATTACAAGTGTTTATTGATGTAAAGTATTTGTCAACAATTGTTTCTCTATGATGCATGTTTTACATTTTTAAACTGTTTTACTATGTTGTCATTCATCATCGACTCAGCAGCCTCGACCTATGGGTGTCCACAGGAGGAGTTATAATTGTTGAAATATACATTAAGACTTATATTTGCTTACAATAGTGTATTTTAATCCATTTGTTAAATTTTTATATACAGCCTATAAATGATTGACAGGGGGACTTTCAGACATGTCTACTTGATAAATCCAGTCAAGTCCTTGATAATCTGATTCACTTGTGAAGGTGCACACATGTAGTGTGTTACTTATGACAGCGTTTATAAACATCATACTTTGTTTAATTTGTGTGCTACGAACATATATTTTTAATGTGTTTTCTTCATTGTGAGTTAATGTGATCAGTCTCAGAAATGCTGAATTACTTAATAGGCAAAGTGAATAAATGGCCTGGGACACAGGCCTCAGGTTCACTATGAGTCACTTGGTTTGTAGTAATTTAGCTGACCGCAAATTTGTTTAGAACTATTCAATGCTGAAGTACATCAACTGAAATGATGTGGGTGTGGTGTTCCTGTTTATCACTTCATCTGGAGGCTCCTAAAACTGCAATACTGTGTTTACATCATGCATATTTTTTAAGATAACTGTGTTTAAGCAAATTATCACTGATTTACTTAAAGAAAACCTGACAGCGGCCATATGAATACTAGTTATTTCCTAAACTCGGGCTTTGCGTAAAATATTATGTAGATGTCATATGTAGTGTATTGTGATCATTGTTCATGACAGGACTTGGCAACAGGGTACAAGTATAATGCACAGACACTGTGCATAGTGCTTTCAGTTGAACAATTAAGAGATGTTTGATTTTTAATTTATACATAAATTTAATTTATTTTTATACAGATATTCAAAACATTTTTAAAGAAATGCCTAAGTTTTATATTGTTTCATACAGAAATGATCTTTTAATTGTGAAGAAACTTTTTGGAAAGGCCACTTCACTGGAACTGAGGGCTTTAAGTTTAACTGCTTCTTTCTTACCAATTGTCCAGTAGTCCCTTAATGAAGACCATAAAAAAGTTCCTATTAAAGCCAAAAAACAGCACTGGGTTTCACTGCTTCACTCCAGGCAAGAGCGAGCAAATCCCCACCCCTTCACAAAATTACACACATACTATCAAACCTTTAAAGAGTACATAGTATTTCCAGGCATAAAAAAATAAACTATAGCTCACCAATTTCTGCGCAAATTGACAATTGTTTTTCAATCAAGTAATTTACAGTTTCAAATAAAGACCTTTTATGATACTATATTATCTTTGTAACCCCCGACAAGCTGTGCAATGTTAGGATATTGATAAATTAAATGATCTGAAGAAGTACATCACTTCTCCCACAATAATATGTCCACCTACAGTATCCCCTCACTCAAACAAACCAAGGATATTTATCCTTTCTCCTCCAAAGTCATTTACAATTACAAATACAAACTGTTAACTGCTGAATATTAATTTTCTGGATGAGATTCTGAGGAGTCTGTTCTCCTTTAAGAGCGCTTAAGGGCTGGTGTGGACAATAAAGACGCTTGGCAAAAACAAGCACACAAAATGCACACACACAAACTAAAACCCCAAAAGCACTGCTTTATCTCACATGATGTGCAAATATAATGATTGTGCGGACGAGGGTTAAAAAGGCTTTAAAAGGTCTGGTCATCGTTACAGGATTCGGTCCAGTGGCCAAAGACCTCACAGATGTCACAGTAGGGCCGTTCTTCGCCCTTATTGCCATGGTAGGTAGTGTGTGGAGGTGAGTCGGGCATCTGCATTTGTGTGGGACAGTCCTCAGTGTCATGGAGGTCGAAGCAGTCGCAGATGTCACAGAACAGCCTTGGGGGAGGCTTCTTCTTGGCGGGTTCCTGTCCATGGCTGCAGAGAAAAGAAAGCATCTCTGTGTAACTGGCTGTCCAGTGATGTAAAAAGTTGAGTTGTACTGCCACACAGCTGCCGTTATTTTAATAGAAGTGTGCGACAGTCTGATATGAGTGGTACGGTATATTTTTAGTAATCAACAAAAGATGTATAACTATAAGATGTATAACTAGCTATCAAAATGCATGTAATAAATAAATTAGGATATATACCTTGAGTGTGTTGAAAGTATGCATGCAACAAGTAAGCAAGACATTGACACTGAATGTGCCTAAAGTGAGTTGTGTAGTGTTAAGTGCGCAAACAACATAAATCAGATCATACTGTAAGAAAAGACCTACACATACAAAGAAACATCCAATGGGAACTGAGGGCCATCAGTGTGTAAAAATAATGCATTAGGACCAATGAAAAAATTGGAATAGTTGGGCTGATTCAGCAACTTCAAGAAAAGAACCTAATAAAGAAAAGAAGGGGATGCCCTGAGGAGTTTGGTGGAGACTCCTCAGGGCATATAAGGAGATGTTTGTTGGAATCTAGTTCAGTGCCTGTGTTCATGAACCAGCGTCTGTTTGCTGTATCTTACCTAAGGATCAGTAAATCTTAGAATCATACACTACTCTGCATTGTCTCTGTATATTTCTCTACTCTTCTCTGAACAAAAGCAATATTGCTATTGAACTTAAGTATTGCGGAAGACCCAACGATCTACTGGCCTTGTCTGAAGAGTTCTGCCATGATAACGGGACTTACCTATCATAGTTATCCAGCTCACTTGGATTATTCCCATTTAGAGCAGCAGCTGCCATTTTCTCAAGTTTGTCCTTGAGTTCCTCATTCTTCCTCTGGAGGTCAACGATGACGGAATTCAGAAACTCAATCTGTACAGGAAATACAAAACAGTAGTATCATTGTTGCTGTTGGCGCTGATAATCTATTGTCTATGAACTACTTTTCTTACACAAAATTTATGTTCAATATTGATATAGGGGTCTCTCTGTAAAGTGTATTAACTGTATTATGTGCCAAGGCTTTACTTCAATTCTATCACAAGGACTGTAGATAACAGTAACTACACTTTGCTATATCAACAAAGTAATTAAATCAGTCTTGAGTACACCACTGTGAGTCGTCAGCCAAAGAAAAATTGAAGCTTGGAATGAGTCACTAGGAGATTTCTGTAAAATACCCACTTATGATGAGTGAGTCTCACTGAGTAAAAGTGATCCTTGCAGATCTGATATTTGCTAAGCATATATGATAACTGAAATTTTCCCTGGGAATTACAGGTATTGAGAAATCAAGCTTGATATTTCTTTGGAAGATGTAGTTTTGTAGTATTGACACCAACTATAATGTGATCCACTGGACAAAACATAAGAGCCACAGTGACAGACAAACATGCACAAGTGAAGCTGATGAAAAACATTAACAAACCGCTGCCTGATGGTGGTGTAGCATTGCCAACATCAGAGACAGGGCAGAGGAAAGGAGTTGGCATTTAAGAAAGAGAAGGAGAGGGAGAAGAAAAAAAAAAGATTCAAATTAGGACCCACCTACTGCCAGACAACACACTCAAGTCATCACTGACACAGATAACACAGTATAACATTTTATAGTAAACAGAGGCTGGAGATGAGACGCAAGTGATGGTTGTAAGACTGATGACACGCCGTTAGCTCACCACTTTGGGTGAAAAGTTCCACTACAACAGTGATAAAGATTCATTTGTCATATCAAGTGTCCCCTGCAAGAGCTGAGATGATGCCAGAAGTTCAATATGCTCTCAATGAAATTTCAAATCTATTTAGACCCATTTCACCTCTGTAAAACATTATACTGTAACAGCTACATGAGTCAACAGTGAACTGTAAAATTCAGTCTACTGCTACATGAGAAGTAGTATTTGTTAGTAAATGTAAGCAGCACAGTCATTTCACAAACAGCATTCAGAAAGATTGTTTCCATACCACTGCCCCAAATATGATGAAAATGTAAATGAAACTGGGTTATTGTCAAAACAAAAAATTGGGCAGGGTAGGAAAGTATCTTTACATTAAGTGTATGAATGGCAAAAAGCCCCACCCCCACCTATCCAGGCCCATGATTGGTATTATGCAGGAAAAGCACAACAGGATACACACCTGACTCTCTGCAGTTTCTTTATCCTCCCTTAGTTGGTCCAAAACTGCATCACCTGGAAACATCATCAAGAACAAGATTACGTGGAAAACAGGAGTGGACTCATTAATCACCCTTTTCTTTTTGAGGTCATCTCACAGAGAACTGATCCCAGTATTACCAGAAATATTAGCTGTAAGTATGATTTAAGCCCAGTATTACCTGAGGACTTGTTGATGGTTTCAGGCCCTGCAGCCAGGTCCTTCTCCAGTCTCCTGACACGCTCCTGTAGAGTAGCCTTGTCCTGTTCCAAGGCCTGAATTGTACCCTGGAGTGTCTTAACTGAGGCACTTTCCCCACGCAGTGCAGCCAGCTAAGAAGAAAACAACCCATGCTATTCAATGGTGGAAAATGGTTCGTTTCTTGGACAAAATATTACTGGCATATGGTTATGATACCAAGAGAAATACATCACCAAATGACAATTTATTGCCAACAATTGTCAAATTGAATTTGTGCTTGTATTAGCACAAATTCAATTTGACGATTACATCTAAAAAAGATAAGCAGCAGAGCTTTCGTTCTCACAATCTTCTTTCAGGTTAAGCAGGCTGTAGATTGTTTTATGAGCAAATGCAAAATGAAAGCAGGACATGATTGTTTGACCTAGAAATGACATCCTGTTGGCCTCTGCAATGTGGGAAATGTATTTTCAAGGTCTACAGTCATTCTAAAGTCTTATTTACCAACTATGAAAAGAAAATGACAAAAGCTACATATGGGCTTTAACAGGCAATCCTGTTAAAAAAAGGCTGTGACCAAGCATTCTCGTGTCTTCCTTTAGTCCAAGTGAATGTTTCTGCCAGATGTAATGAATTTTCTCAAGGTGGTCTTGAGATGTCACATTTAAGAGGCCAAAAATATAATTTGTGAGGTCACAGTGACCTTGACCTTTAACCACCAAAATCTAATCACTTCATCCTTGAGTCAAAATTAATGTTTGTACCAAATTCCGCCAAGGGATTACAAAGATAGGTGAGGAGATTTTGATGCGAGGGTGCCAAAAAACAAACAAACAAAAAAAAAACAGAAAAAACAAAAACAAAACAAAAACATAAATACATTAATAAAGAAGACAAAGTTTGTGCTTCAAAATCTTTTCTATGCAACTCTTGACTTGCTTAAATTAATTTTTTGCATGCTCAACAGTTTTGTCAACAATTTGCCATACCAGCTGACAACAAGAGAGTACCATTATACATTAAATTCTCACCTCGCTCCCGAGCTTTTCCACCTGCTGGTCCTTTTCTGAGATTAAGGCACTGTTTTTATGGATGGACTGTTGGAGGGCGGCCTTCTCCTTGTCCAACTGTCCTTTCAAGGTGCTCTCACTACGAAATACACAATATCAACTAAATCTCTCAAGAGATACAATATTTCTGGGCAGAGAAGAACTGGCCCCATTTTATCAAAATGTTTGTCACCAGACCTATTAATCTGGAGCTCAAATTACTGGGCCATTATTATAAATACTGTAAACTCTACTGTAAAACTACTGTAAGTGCCATATAGAAAATGAGCCCCCCAAAAAAGCATTTTTTTTCCCCTATTGCAGTTTTTGGTCAAGTTTTTTGGTACACTTGCTTAAATGGTAAGATGGCATATGAAAAGATATTACAAATATTTTTTCATAGTCATTGTATTTGACTAGGAAATAAAGTAAGAGATTCAAAGCACAGTGGCAAAAAAACACATACCATTAAGTGAAAACATGTGAAACTGGAATGAGGCTGTGGGTACAATTACTTTTTGTAGAATGACTTAGGATGTGTCATGCTAATGTTCCTATTTGTCTGCCTACACACATCTGGTTTATACAAAGGTACTATTACATGCTCACTGACGTCATGTAATATTAAGAGTGTGAAGTACCTGAAGGCATTATTTGGCAGGCTTTAAAAAGGAAAAGAACAGCATTATATATCAATCGCTTAATCACAAATGCAATGCATATTATCAAATGTCACACAGATTAAACTATTTATGCTTATTTAGACAACAGGCTTTAAAAATACCTCACATAATACTGGTGAAAATGAAACTACCCAAATCATAAAATGATCGTGTAGAGTCTTACCTTTGCTTCAACTCTTCCAACTGCTTTTTGAGTTTTGAGTAGTCATCTTCAAGCTAAGGAAAAAAAAAAGTTCAAATTCAATCAGCAGATCAACAAATGAAATACAAAATGATCTGATACTTGTAGATTTATGTAAGATCTTTAAAACAAAGATGTAAAGTGTTGCACCTTCACAAGATCACTCTGGTCTTTGTGATTGTTATCAAGATCCTGAGTCAGCTTGCTGTTTTCATCTTGGAGTATCTGTAGGGACTGCGACTTCACAGAAACTGCTTCTTTAAGCTCCTCACTGACAAATAAAAATGTTAGAATCATCTAAAAAATTCATACAACTCATGTAGACCATTCATTGGCTTGTAGAAACCCTGTCACAAATGTCTCTCAATTTACTGTAACTCACTAATTCTATCATACTATTCAAATTTAAATTAGACAGATTTCTGCTGAGTCAACAGAAAAGTTGGCATACTCACATTTCCTTGCACAGACTCTTGGTCCTCTGAGTTTCTGTGCAAAGCTGATCTTTGGATACATTCAGATCTTCTTGGTACTTGGAATTCTCTTTCTTCAATGTTTTTAGCTAAAACAATATTTAGAACTTCAGGACATACAAATCAAATATTTCACTTAACTCTATTCCTCTTAGGCCCTGTTCAGACCTGGCATTAACAACCATCTCGGGTGATATGATCATAAGTAGACAGCTCTGAGTACAAATCTGAACGCACCCAAGATGAATTGAAGACGAATTTGAGATCCATCACTCAGACCACATTCAGAGGTTGGGCGTTATGTGGCCACATTCTTTTAGCAGTGTGGACGCAAATGCGTCTTGGGTCACATTGAAGGATTGCCTCCTCAACTGACATCCTCTGCCAGTTTAATTAGTCCCACAACAGTTTTATAATGAACTAAAAATATTTTACTATTTCAAATGGCTAAAACCTTATCTTACAGCTGTGCGCAGTGCTTTTGATTAGCTCATACATGTTCACTTGCATATAGAATGGGGAAGTGAGATTCGTTCATGTGGAGACGCATCTTAATGCCAGGTGTGAACTGACATACTTAGAGCTGTCCACTTGTGATCGGATCACTGAAGACGCATGTTAATGCTAGGTCTGAACAGCACCTTACATATACAGTATTGCTTGATAAGAAGACCACTTCACTACTAGAGGCTTATATGAGCAATTTTCCTGCAATAGCCATCTCTTACCTGGGTCTCTATCTCCAGCTTGGAGCTCCAGAGCTCTTCCAACAAAGATTGGGCTTTGTTCTTCTCCTGAATCAAACTAGCTTTCTCTTCTGTCAGCTGTTTGAGAGCATCAACAGTTTTTCCAGAGGCTTCTATAGCCTAAACAGTGCGCGAGCAGGAAATTCAGTAAGAACAACATTTCAAATTGATGACCCAAGGACCCCGGAATAAGGAAATTGCAAATACAATTTGAATTCAACCAATTATCTAATTTTAGTACCATTTAATAAATTAACTGCATGCTTAATAAACCAGCTATCTTGATAACTGATTTAGAATCAGTTATCCAAATATTACTTTATTGGAATTTGTCACAACCAATCCCAACCAGAAGGTTGACAATTAACAACATAAATATTCCACTGGAGAAAATAATTAGTATATATTCTAAAATACAATATTACAACCTGTGGCCTCAGAACGGATCCTGACAACCTACAAACAACTTAACTGTAAAGAGTCAGTGAAAAAAAAAAAAACTTTAATTGGTAGTCCTTTAAAGGTAGTCTCTGTAGGACTTTCTCAAATCCTATATAAAATTGTAGCAAAACCTTAACGCCTGAAAGATGCCGTACATCAACATATTTAATTATTTCTGTACATACTATTTTTTTTTCCTAGAGATTTTGACCAAGAACTTAAAATTGGACTGAATGACATTGTAAAGCAGATTATTGGAGCTATAATTTCTATAAAGAAAAACTAATGAAAACTTATTTCACAGCAATATGCTGAGAAATACCCACATCTACGATCTTGTGCATTAACATTATGATGTATTAACATCAACAATGAATCAAATACAATCAAATGAAATATGAAACATCATCAGAGGGTGAGTGTGATCACCTTAACCCTACATAATCATGTACCCTAGAAGAATTTCACCTCAAGTTAGATCACGTTATAAGCCCACAGGCAAAGGCTGGGAACTAGGGGTATAAATAGCGGTTAGTAAATGGAAGATGAAAGTTAGACACGAAAATAAAAGGATAGAGGAAAGGGAGACAAACCAGCATGCATGCAGTGAGAAGGTGCATAGCCCCAGCCACTCTAAGTTGTGTGTGTCAGTGATTACTACTGTAGGAGGAATACCTCAAGCTGCTTAGAAATGGCATTTTTTAGTTGGGACTCGAGCTGCCTGACTTGCTGGGTAGCTTCATCCATCTCCACCTGCAGGGCATTCTTCTGAGCTGTTAGGTTTGAGATGCTGGAGGAATTCTCTTCTTTTACAACAGCAGAAGCTGATACTTCTGCAACAGCATTCTTGTATTGCTTTTCTAAAAGTTCTTTGTCAGTTTCTAGGCCCTTGACATCAGCCTCTAGTTGTTTCTGGCTAGCCTGCAACTTTTCCAACTCTTCACGGAGCCTTGACCGTTCAGCAAGCCAATTTTCTTGGCTTTTGTGGAGATAAGAAACATCCTGCTCCAATTTACATTGTCCAGCTAAAAGGTCCTCTTTCTCTGTGGTCAAGAAGGTAATCTGTTTTCCCATCTCCTCAAGCTTAGATAATAGCTCTTTTTTATCTTCTGTCAACTGACTGGTTTCTTGCTCTTGCTGCTTCAGTTGTGTTTTCAAAGCATCCATATCTTCCATAAAAGACTTGTTTTGCTTATGAGCGTTCTTAAGGTTAGAGGAAAACTCTTTATTTTCTTGTGTAACTCTGGACAATGTTTCCTGCAGCTCATCAATTTGCTTGGTAAGACCATCCTTGTCAGATATCCTTTTTTTCCGTTCATTGGATTCAGCCTCTAGTTGAGTCTCAAGAAGTAGCTTTGCCTCTGACATTGATTCAGTTTGACTTTGTAACTTCTGGATCTCCAGAAGCAGCCCCTGGTTCTCTTTCTGGAAGGACTGCACTTTTTTGTCAGTCTCCGTCTGCAACGACTGCAGATGCTGACAGTCTTTTGTAAGGTTATCCACCTGTTGAACAAGTTCTAAATTAGCCTTCTCAAAATCCATTTTTAGTTTACTATGCTCTTGAACAAGTTCAGTTTTGCCCTTGACAAGAATTTCAATATCAGAGTTATGTTTCTGCAGTTTATTTTGTAGGTCAGTCTTTTCTCGTTTCAAAGAGGTCACTTCTGCTTCAAGTTTGTCTTTTTGCAGTTTGTTTTCCTCTAGCATTGTTGTTAAATGAGACTTCTCTTGAATAAGGTCAGCATTAGCTCTGCAGTAACCTTCCAAATGGTCCTTAGTTGTTCGAATATCACTAGCTAGCTTATCGCGCTCAAGTGAAAGAACATTTTTCTCAGATATGGCTTTTGTGTGCTTCTCTTCTAACTCTCCTTTCTCCCCTGCCAAACGCTCATAATTCATATTCTGCTGCTCTAGTGATGAATCCAGGCTCATCTTTTCCTTTCGAATAGCATGTAGAACCATCTCAGTTTCAGAATTCTGAAGGCGAAATGCTTGCTTCTCTTGCTCAAAAGATGACAATACTTCTTTAAATTTCTCATTGGACTGAAACAGTTGTTCTGTTGAGATTTGAAGCCTCTCCTTTAATTCTTCTACCTCTTTGAGGAGTTCTTCCTTCTCATTATAGACCTTTCTTTGGATCGCAAGTAAGTCTTCCTTCTCCTGCAGAAGATGAAGTCTCTCAGAATCAGTCACCTGACTGCTTGTCTTGAACTCTTCTAGCATCTTGGCCAGGCTCATTTTTGAGGCTTTAAGTTCTTCACATTCACGGACAGAGCTCTCCAAGTCTTTCTTTGTAACAGTGAGCTTATTCTGAAGCTCCTCCTTCACTGTCTCAAGGCTATTTTTATCCAAAACAAAGGCACTGATTTCACAGGACATCTCCACCTTCTCTTTTGTCAATGTTTCTGTGAGTGCCTGCAGCTGGGTATTCTTCATTGTAAGATCTTCTTTTTGTAAGTTTAAAGATTTAAGTTTTTCCTGCAATTCGGCATTCTTAGCATCAAGAGATTTTTTGGCATTTCTAGCAGCATCTCTCTCTAAAATTAGATTGTCCTTCTCACACGTGAGCTTTGACCTGCTTTCATTGAGGTTCTCTTCAAGGCGGTTCCTCTCTTTGCAGACATTTTCATAATCCTCAAGTAGTTGCTTCCTTTTAGCCTGAATTTGCTGGATGTCCTGCTGATGCTTTAGGAGCAAGTCATTCTTCTCTGCATATTGTTTTTGAAGCTCTTCGATTTGGGCCTGGTGTTCACCTTCAGTATGCTTCAGGTTTGTGTTTTCAGTCTGCACCTCATGTAGAAGATCTTTTAGCTTCTCCAACTCTGTGTTCAATGAAATCCTTTCTTCGTTTGAGCGCTTGTTGTTGTTGAGCAATTCCTCTTGATTTTCTGAAAGCTCATTTCTGGTTATTAGCAGTTCTTTATTATGGACAGAAAGCTCCTGGTGACTAATCTCAAGGGCAGAGAACTTTGTCTGCACATCTGAAAGCTGTTTCTCCAGTTTGTCTTTCTCAGCCTTAACATCCTCACTTTCCTTACAAATGGTTTCCAGATCTAGACTCTGCTTTTCCAGTTTTTTGGACAATTGTTCAACGTCATGCTTGTAGGAGTCAAGCTCAGCAGAAAGACACTGGGAAAATAAAGATGAAAGGAAAAAAAGTAGGGGAATATATATATGCAGGGAAAAGTAAGATGAATCAAAAAATAAACCAAGCAGATATGGACATAAGTGATATGGTTTTGGAAATGTTAAGCTGCAGAAGCATCAAAAATGGTAAAAGATCGCACCACAGCTTACACCACAATAAAGAAAAAAAAAGAAAAAAAAAAAAAGTGGAACATTTTCACTTCAACCCTTACTTACTTTAAATAAATATATTAATTACACTGATGCCAACAAATTTTACTGACATATAAACAAAGAGTGGCTGATAGCTGCCGGAGAGTATAATTATTATGTCATTTATAGCATTTTATACAGCACTTACTTGAATTACTATGGGGATCCACACTACATACATATTTTCTATGTGTATTATTGTATTGAAAATGAAAAGAAAAATGCGTTTTGTGATGTACAAATTTCACTAACTTTTACTTACTTACTGTCACTTGTACTATCTTTTTCTTAGGAAGTGAAAATGTTCTACTTAAATGCAATATCAGGCTAATAAACAATGCTAGCAGGGGTTCATAACAAAAGCAGTTAACAGTTACTGTAATTTGAAAGAACATTTCAATCAGTATCTAAACATATAGTATGTAAATTGTAACTAGTGACTGAGCTTGAACTGAACTTGAATCCTACCTAGTGCATAACTATCTATTGAGCAGCCCAAACCAAATTTATTTTACTGTGATCTGTTTGTAAGGCTTTTCCAATAACCATAAATTGTCTTAAAATACATTAAAGACATAATTTCATAAGGTGAACCCCTGCAAGCATATAGCACTCCAATATAGAGCTAAGATGAATATGAAAAAGGAGGTTATTGTCCTAAATGTCAGGGGGGAACTTATCACAAATAATCTGTATGATGGTAAGAGTGAAAATGTTGTTGATAATACACATCAATCATACACATTAATCACTGATGTTAAATGAAGGGAAAAATTGTTACACAGTTACAAATAGTCTCCCTTGTTGTAACATTCTGTTTTAGAGTTTAAACTGGTGTTAACATCTGTGCTGTGTTTAAAGGGGCTATATTTAAGTTTTCTTGGCATATGTAAGCTTCAGCCATCATAACGTTTACAACACAAGAAGTTATAATACGCCACCAGAGCAGCACTACTTCTTCAGGGGAGACTGGACGTTACAATGACTTGCTATCGGAAAGTCATGAGACAGGCTGGCTGGACTGGAGCTATCTGGTGAGCATGCTAACTTCAGTATAAGAAAAGCAGTGATAGAAATAGAAGCAAAACAAGAGTTAACATTGGTGTTGCTTTTCACTGCTCCATACAGCCCTTGGTGAGTAAAGGAAGTATGATGCTGAATTCACAATGTTTCTTCTAGACTGGAAAGCAAAGAGCTATTAATGCCATTGTTGGCTGTGCAGTAATGGCAAAAACTTACATATAGGTCCTTTAAAAAACAAATTTTCATCTACAAATAGGAACAGTGATATTTTTCCTGATGACTTGATCAACCATTAAACCATTAGTAAAAATATATAATAAATGAAGCATAATTTTTACATTACACTTTGCAGAGAACTGAAATCACATTGATTCAACTAATATGTCTGTGCCTATGTGGGTTTGTCTTTACCTGAGCCTGTTCCTTGTATGGCTGTAGCTCAGACACCGACTTCTCCAGCTCCTGGGTTTTGTCCTTGGAGGAGGAGAGCTCCTGGTTTAACTTGTCAACCTGACTCTGCAGCACCTCAAGTTCCTTCACATGGAGCTCTGAGGCCTGACACAGGGATTTCTCTTGAGAGGCCTTCAGCTCCTCAACCAGGCTCTCACCTTGTTTAACAGCCTTCTCCTAGAAAGGTTGGTGAAATGTGAAAGGCAATAACTAATCACATTACAGCATTTCTGTACTTGTTTTAAATCAGCCAGTTACTTAAGTAGACACTTAAGTGAAACAGGTGGGAGATTTTAAATCAAGTATTTCAAATGTTAAAAGTATCTGACATACAATTCTCATTTTGTGAGGGCCCTAGAATACTAACCAAGGTAGTAATCTTTTCCTGAAGGCTTCTTAATTGAGACTGATGTGCATCTCTGGTCTCTTTCAGCTCCTGCTCTTTGCGGGACTGTTCCTGCTGGAGTTGTTCATTAAAGTGTGCCACCTTCTCCTTCTCCTCTGCAACTTGACTCTGTAGCTCCTCAAGCCTCCTGAGTGATGACAAAAAAAAGAGTCAGAGAACAAAAAAAACAAAACGTGATCTGAAGGTCACAAATTAGATGAAAAATAAATTCACTTAAATAAATCCTAAAGCATGGAATAAAACAAAAGCAAGATATTTGCATATTGATTATAACATGTCAATGCAAAGTAAGTATCCACTTCTAACATGACTGATATAATTAGTTTCAAGTGCAGTAATAAAGTAATATAAAATCAGGGAATAATGAAATCTGGTAGGCCTACCTTTCTTTCTGTATGAGGTCTTCATTCATTTTGGTCAGCTGTACTGAACTGTCACCAGATGCCTTCATCATGTCTGAAATATCATTTTCGAGCTTGTTTTTATCCTTTGAAAACTGCTCAAGCTTTTCATCTGCAGTCTTCAGCTTCCTCTCAAGCCCTGATTGAAAACAACATGAGTTTGCTTGTATGATCTACAAGTTTTAAAAATATACTACAGCAATAACAAACAAAAGAATGTAGTTTGAATAATCTCACCAGCAAGTTGACTTCTTAGAGATTCTGATTCTGTGGTCAGGGATGTGCACTTCTCTTCCTTCTTGCTGAGCTTCACAAGTGTTTCTGCAAAATGTTACATTTTAGATTCTAGAAGCTGTTGTAAACTGAAAAAGGCAAAATGCAGCAGATGATAGGAAAAGGTGGAAGGAACAAAGAACAACTGTTTAAATTATTTACCTTGCATAGTTTTTGCTGATTTTGTCTGTTCCTCTGTGCTTTCAGCCAACTTTTGTTTCTGTGGGGAAAAATCATTTTACATTATATAATATTTTTGTATGCTTTTTCAGCAATATAGAAATGTACAAGTCAAAATTTGAGGAGTGTTATTTTCGTGGTTTGTACAGGGGTACTTTAGAAACAGTGACACAATTACATACTTTGTTCATCAGAGAGCACTTTAAAAGTTTTTAACTACATTAAAAAGCCCAGTGATTTAATTCCTAAAGCAAAACAGACACTGTATCCACATCCAATATTATGCCATGAGCCTCACCAAGCCTCCAAGTTCCTGTTCCATGGTGTCCTTCTCCTGCTTTACAGTGGTCAGGGTCTGCTGTAAAGAAAGGACTTCCTTCTTTTGGCCCTCCAACTGAGAGCTCAATTCACTAACCTATAGCATGTCAAGTAAAAAAATTCAGTAACAGCAAAGAAATCTGAACATTAAAACTAAACATTAATAAAGCAATGACCAACAATCATTGTCTGAAAATACCATACTTGACAGAAGTAGTAAGGACACCACTTTGCTAAGACATGGCAAATACATATACAAATACACATACCATTGAAATGGGAAAGGAGGTGAATAAAAACCCACCTTAGCACCTTGATTGTTTCCTTGGTTCTGAATATCCTCTAACTGACTCTTCAAGGTCACAACCTCCTGGTTACTTTGTGCTACTTGGCTGCGCAGAGCCACCATCTCTGCCATCTGCTCTTTGGTTTCTCTGTCCTTGTCTTGGGTCTGTTGTGCCAACATTGCTTCTTTCTCCTCAAGCTCCTTTACCCTAAGTTCAGCAGTATGAAGCTTTCCAAGAACATCTTCCATCTCTACAAGGTGCTGTTCCTCTGCTTTTTCAACGCTGGACCGCAGCGACTCCTCCAGTCGCTCCTTTTCTTCAGTCAAAGACAAGAGTTGTGCCTTCAGGGCCTGCATCTCCCGAGTCCAAGCTGTGGTGTCAGCATCATGTTTGGCTCCAGCCTCCTCTAGAGCCAACTTGTGCTCTACCTTCAGTCTCTCTAGTGCACTTTTGGTCTCTACAAGCTCTTCTGTCTGGGCACCAGCACCTTTGCTGAAGGACACCTTTAGCTCCTCCATTGCTTGCTGGTGAGAGGCAATGGCAGATTCCAACTTAGAACGCCACAGTTCAGTAATGTCCGCTTTCTCCTTCTCAGCTTGACTTAAACGCATCTGCAACTGCTCGTTGTCACCAGAGATCCTCACAGATGTAGCCTGAAGCTGGGCAACTGCCTCACTGTGAGTCTTTTCTTTAGCTTCTAGCTTCTCCTTGTATTTTGCCAGCTCTTCTTGCTGCTTAGCTTCTTGGGAAGTCAACTGATCCCTAAGAGAATTTATCTCTTCCAGAAGAGGAGAAAGAGTAGCGTCAGAGTCCGCTGAGCCTTCCTGGGTCCCAAGACGCAGCTGCAGGTCAGCTACCTCTCTTGTACGCATTGTAAGGTCCTTTTCAAGCTCCATTATACGGGACCTTTCCGACACAGTAGCAACCTTTAAAAGCAGAAATCTTGCATTTAAAAATGTGTCAGAATCTAACATAGTGGACCAGTGTGCACTAACAAAAGCGTATTAAGAGGCTTACATCATACTTAACTATTATTAAACAAATGAAAAACGAATTAGTAAACTGAAATAATACATAAAGCTCTTGGTAACAGTGAAACTACGCTTACGGCGAGGTAAGCTGTTCAACTTGCTTGGGTATAAAACCACTGATCCCAAAAATACAAGGTGTTATACTGACCTCTTGTGGCTATAAAGGGTACAAAGAATGGAAGTGAACACTGAAAGCATGAATGGAGCTACAGCATTGTGCAAGACATTTTCCACCATCCATTTAATTAAAAGGCTTCATCACTGAATTAATGCTATTTTTGAAGAGAATTATGTACTAAGAAAAATCTATAAAATTACTCTCAGGGAGAATTGGCATGTCCTATTATTTTTATATTAATCCACCTATATACCAAATCTATGTTTTTTCAATGTTCTCAAACATGCATCTCTTTTAGCTGCTTCAACATAATATTTAACAGCTTGGTTGAGACATTGAGTTTTCCTCAAAAATCAACATTTTCTTAATGAAATCATTTGCAAAAAGGATCCTATAGAAACTATGGCCCTCATCCTCATGACACTACAAGAGACATATTTTTACTGATTCTTCTCATAACTATAATACACTAGGGGAACACAACGATGCATAGTCTGGGAGGTGGAGCAGGTTTTAGACTAGGATAATGCAGGGACACCAAATAAGCAGGACAAATGGATGCTGGGAAGGACTGGGGAAGTAGAACATAGGATAACCAAGCTAATCAATAATAACTGATTAGCTGGGGACAAGGGGGAAGTTTGTCTGTCTGGTTAAGCAGTGATACCAGTAAAGCAAAAGTGAGTTCAGTTTTGAGTAACTTATTGGAAAATAGTACAAAAGAGCAGTCACTCGAGACAGCTGAAAGATGCATGCGGTTATTTGTTTGACAGTTATAATAGAAATTTATATTTTTCAATGTAAAATAATTTTGAATGAATCAATTTAAATGTAAGGGAAGTTAATATTTCAAAAATGGTTACAGAATTCATGTTCAGCTAATTCCACAAACTGTGATGCACAATTTGCAACTAGAACTTTAAGCAGAATGTGATTTGAGCCTTTAAACAAACCTCATACATATAGTAGTTTATTATTTGATTTAATTTGTTTGCTGTCAAAGCAGGAGTACTGTTTTTCTTATGTGAAGCTGGAAAAATGCATTTGAGGTGTTCAATCACCACAAACCCATACAAAGCAAAGCTCCAGTTACTGCTTGGCACCTCTCTGTACCCCTTGCAAATGTTTTGGCCACTATCCCCGGCCCAGGCCCTCTTTTCCAACGCAGCACGCTGCAGAGCAGAATTCATTACCCTAGTGTCTTCTAACTCTCTTTGGAGTTTCTCAGCTTTGGTCTTTTCAAAGAGCAGGCTCTGTTCAAGCTCCTTAATGTGGGCATGCTCCAGTCTGGTCTGCGTCTGTTAGTAAACAAGGGGGAGAGGAAGAGAACACACCAGTGCCACCATCACATGCCAGCCCAACACAGACAGAGAGGGAAGGAGACAGGAGAGAGGATAGAGGGGTTTGGACAGTGATTATGGAGATGGGGTGTGTGTGTGTGTGTGTGTGTGTGTGTGTGTGTGTGTGTGTGTGTGTATTTAGGAGGTTGGGGAAAGGATATTGGGTGGAGGTGACCAGTGGTGGATGAGTGAAAATGGGATGATATCCAATGCAGAACTTTCAGGCTGTGCCATTAAGAGCTGAACATAAGGAATTTTGTGAAAGAATGATGGAAAGTACAAGACAGGCAGCAAAAGAAGGGGGGCATGTGTTATGGATGTTCAGGGTGAGTATGTTGATGGAGGCAATTTAGAAGTAACCATGCAAAATAGACACCTGGTGAACAAAGCACGTTGATTGTTATTATACACAGAAACTTTTATAATGTGTAAAGCCAGCAAGTAGATAGCATAAAAATGACTTCACCATGTCATTGAGAGAAAGCAGTGATGGTTGTTTTCTAAACCCTACACTTAATTCTGTAATATGAGGTTAATGCATTATATCATACAGAAGATATCTAACGCTGTAGAACTGTCATATTAAACTGACAATAGAAAGTCAATACAAAGACAGTTTCTTTTGGATTTTTTGGATTTTCAGCTACACCCCCATTATTTACTGCACTGATCCAAATATCTTGTTTATTTCACTCATCTTATTTAGGACTTTGGTCTAGATTTCGTACAAAACCCTACAGCATTATCAGCCTCCACACTGCTTTCTCTCTTTCGTGATAAGGCCATTGCCCACACTGTATAATGTAAGTACTGTATAAGAAACCACCAGCTATCAGACCACCATGTGCAGGATTTGTGACGAGCTTAAAAGAAATCAATCAGTAACAAGCATGTGGGGCTCAAGAAACAAAGGATTCCCTTTTGACTTCTTGGTATTGTGTGCTATGAGTAAGGGTTTAATGGCAACTTAATGAAGCATTTCCTGCTTCTAGTCATACATGTTACCAAGTGTATGTTACCTTAAGGTTTCTTTTTGAAAGGGGAATAGCACCTTTTTAAATGTTATGTGTGTTACGTGACATTTGGTCTTCTCCCTGACAAAGTTAACTATCATGTCTAACTAACTATTTGAAATACTACACTCAAAGGTAATGAATGAAGCAAGGAAAGGTGTGACTATAGAAGTATAACAATTACATTTTGGGGCTCACTGTACATTTCATTTCATTCTGATTGTAAAAACTTAGACACTGTATGTAGCCACTGTTCATTGTCTGTGTAGTTATAAAATATAATTTAGCTTGAGAAAATGTATCTTTATATACAATTTACATTTGAATTCTTAAGATGAGTGTTATTCCCCTTTTGTTGTTGTGGGTAGACTGAATTCAAGTCTGTGACTGGGCAGTGGAATGACAAGGGAGCATCTCCAGTGGTTCCATGCTGAGCACTGGACCAACATGAAAGACGAGGACGAGAAAAGGAAGAAGAAGCAATAACATCACATCACTGAACAGGGAGGCACTGAGGGTTATAGCACAACATTAGTACACCTTCAACCTGAAGTCAACACAGCATTTCTGAGTTTGGCCTGTTTGAAGTATTTTTTGTTGGTGTATTTCAAGCTGCATGCAAGTTTTTAATATATCCACAGCTGTGAGTAAATAATAAAGTGTTAGTATAAATGTTTAAAAAAGAAGATAAAGGGGTATTCTAACCCTGTAGCCCTCATTTTAAACATCTATTTTGAGTTCGGATGCCTTCGGGGTAATTGAGATGGTTCCTTGTGTAGCACTGTGGAATAAATAACAAATCCTTTGATCAGATATGAACAGAGATACCACCGGGCCCCAGTAGTCTGCATATCCTAACTTGGGATGAGAACATGACTCACTTGAGAAAAGGAAAATGAGTAATCGGAGGCTACTGTGTTGAATTACTGTAAAATATTATGTGAAGGAAAAAGCAAAATGCAGGTCCCTTCGTAACACTAGGACAATAAACTCTTTTATCTCTTCATAACAGGCAAACATTGATAACATTTTCTAGTGATGAGTTCCCTAAATATATAATTTATCACACCACATTAAGTCTTCCCCTAGGCTCGTACTACAACATTAATATGCCTGTTAACTAGACAGGTTTACTGACCACATGAAGCCTCATTATCCTTAAAGCACATCATCTAATGCTAGATGAAGCCAGTTTCAAACTGCCCATGCAAAAACGCGTAGACATGTGATAAGTTTCTACTGCTAACACAAACAAGAGTTAACGCAAATGCTCTATCTGGACTTGACTGTAGCTCTGTGACAAGGGATACCAGTTAATTTTGTGCAATCGTAAAATGCATTGGACCTGCACCCAAGAAGAGAGACAAATGTAAACAAATTAATTAAATTACTTTCTTGACATGGATAAAGAACAAGGTTTATGTGAAATGGAATCCTGAGATGGAACCAGGATGCAGGGTGACTTGAGTGCCTGTTGCTTTTGACTTAATATTGAAAATTTACATTTTAAATCAGTGGGACAAAAATGTCAAGTTAAACATCTCTGCCACTTTTTTTCATTTAAAAAAAATAGCAATTTCTGATTTAATATTTTTGCAGTGATCAATGTCTTTTTTTTGTTTTTTTTTTTAAAACACAAATCTAACAAAATGTGTAAGTTGCAACAGTGTTGATCTGTGTTGTGCATTTACCTCCAAGTCTCCTTTGGTAATGCAAGCTTCCTCTACACGGAACTGAAGATCCTCCACCTTCCTATTTAACAGAAAAAAGCAATCTTACTCAAGCTTGTTAATTGGGGAACAGCCTAATTTTAATGATTAAGAGAAAGATAAAGCCTACGCAGGCAACCCTCTTTCCTCACGACTTTAAAAGACTAATATTATACCAGCATTATGATCTTATCTCTCATTTTCTCTAAACAAACTAAAAAAAGACCTTGAAAAATATAGGGTAAGTATAGATACTGATATGTCAGGATCATTATGGGGTCATAATAGATAGTTACAAACTGTCATGGGTGACTGTGTGCCTTTGACTTGTCATACCTCTGGGAATCCTTACCTACGTTCCTCCTCCAGCTGATTCAGCAGTTCCACTTTGTCTTTGTCTGCAGCTTCAACCAAGGCACGTAACTGATCCATCTTAGCTTCCATCTTCAACAAAAAGATCAGACATTGAACAAAAAAATTAGCATAAATGACAAGGCAATAAAGAGATTCTCTAATTCTAACAGTAATCTAGGATCAACAGCAGGGTAATCCAAACTAATCAACCACTGGGTGATCTGACCTGCTCCTGATCATCCCTGAGCAGACTAATTTCTTGCTCCATCTCTCCAACATGGCTAGTGGCCTTGGCAACCTCAGCTTTCTCCATGTCCCTCTCAGCCATTAACTGCTCAATATGCTGCTGCTTCTCCTTCAGCGCCTCCTGCAGGGCTGTAGTGCCTGAGATCTTTCGATTATACCGTGATGATGTCTCTGTTAGCTATGGAGAGAACAGAAGAGAAGCTTGGTCAGACTGGTAAGTAAGCAAAGCATAAAAGAATTGTATGAGTACATCTTCATATTTTTGTTACTGAGTGTGTCCATGTCTCTCACCAGGCCTGTGCGGCTGGGCTTGGCGCTGACAGAGGATGCCACAGAGCTCATGGTACTGATGGAAGAGGCACTAGGGCTTCTCTTCAGCCCAGATGGTGTGGCCACTACTTTCCGAACTGTTGTTTTTGCTTTGGCTGGCGTGGTGGAAGGGAAGCCAATGCGTGTGACTTTATGCACTGGAGCAAATAAGCCATATTTGGGCTGGCACTGAAAATATCTGGGGACAGATAATTGAATACAATCATGATAATGGAAGTTATAGTATGAATATCCACATATGCATGTGGATGACAAGTATAAAAACTTTTCTTTTAATTATTTACAAACCCAGTGGCTTATGTACCTTGTGCCTGCCACTGCCCCGTCATTCTTTCCTAAAGGCTCATCCAATTCCACACCACACCACTCGCCTTTGGCAAAATCTGTTTCTCCAAGGAAACGTACGACTCCTGCCTTTGTACCACCAACCTGACAGGAAAATACAAAACATTAGCCATTATTTAATCCCCTCAACAGATAAGGGAGGCCTAAAGACTAATCAGCTTTGCCTGGTAATAAACCCCTGAGATAATTCCATCAAAGCAACAGGAACAAACGTGTGCCAGCTTTGAAAATAATGTGGCAAACTGTCAACATGTGAAACTTTTTTTAATCTTATAATTATCTAAAAAACGCACAGCTGTAAGGTTTACATGATATTACATTAGTGGTAGCACATTTCCTCTGCGTCCCAATAGGCATGAGTGACACTTCCTCTTTAAATAATGTGTCACACAGCATCCTGGCTGAGGAAAGGGAGAAAAAAGGGAATCTGTAATGAGGAAGGAAGGTGCTCATCAAGATATAATCAGACCTACAGGACTGCACACAGATGGTGACTGCACTCAACAGTGTTAGTAACAGTACTTCCAATGACTCAGAGGTGGAAGTTTGGTGACATGAAGAGCAAGATACCATGTATCATGTGTTCATTTCTCTGAGATTGCTACACTGAAGAAAAGGAGGGTTCTGTGAGTCATGTGACTCTAAACAAGCATTGTTGCTAATGCCAGTTCTGCTAAAGAACAAAAAAGAATGTTAGATTTCAGTCACTTAGCTTAAATATCCACAGAAGGACAAGTTATCTTTTTTGTTTTAAATAATGCAACAAGCTTTACCAATACACGGTCACCCATCTTCAGTTCCCTTTCCCCTTTCTTGACTGATCCGGTCTCTGAGAGGTTGGAGATAGATTCGCTGTTGGTGCGTGCAAGGTTGGAAGATGGTGTAGCTGGTGTAGTTGGTGTAGTGGTGGAGGCCTTCTTGCCTGCTGTGGTAGTTGAGGGTAGAGTTGATTTTGTGGCAGGTGTATGCGAGGCTACGCTACCAACTGAAGGAGTGGGTGATGCAGCTCGGGAGGGCGGTGCCGTCTGAGTTCCATTAGCCTCCCCCTCTGTGCGAGACAACTTGGATGGTCGTGTAAATATACCTCGCAGGGCTTCACACTGGAAGTAGCGCACCCCTGCCACTGACCCATCATTCTTCCCAATTGGCTCATCTAGAACAATCCCTGCCCACTGTCCTGGGGCAAACTGTGTCTCTCCCAAAAACTGAATGTAGCCTGGCTTATTCCCATTCACCCAGACCCGTTCCCCAATCTGGAAGCTCTCTTCAGAATTTTGGGCATCTCCTCCACTGGCACTTGCAGCTGATTTGTCGGCCCCAGCAACTTTTGCTCCTGCTGATATATAAGGGGTGAGAAAGAGAACAGTTTTTTCAAAATCCATCAGTAACTGACTCGGACTGAATCATCATGCAATTCTGAAGTTTCATCTTTCCTGTTAAATGTGTTTACTTACTAACTTTAAAAGAAAGTGTAAGTGAACCTTGAGTTTAGAATATCTTAGAACAGTTGTGTGCTTCCAAAGTAAAGAATCAATCTCCACGTTCAATATTAAAGTCAGCATCACATCTATAGTGACAGTAATACTGCTGTGGTGAGAGAAATCTAGGCTAAATGTTTGAAAAGCTGGCTTTAACACAAATCATAAATTTTGGCAAGATAGTGGTGTAAAAGCTGTGATGTCTAGATCTCCTTGATGCCACCACCAATGCACACACAAAACTGATTCAACAAGATAAACATTAACTGCTCTTTCCCACATTTTGTGATCAGTTGGAATATATCAATTCACATAGGTGCCATTTTTATCATTATGTTGCACAAGTATAAACAATTGTTTTAAGCAAGGGTCTGACATACCAACTGCCTATTCAATAGGCCTGGGCAATATCCAAAATTTAATAACTTGATACATTCCAGCCCTAACATTGTGATATCAGATATTGTATTTTAGTGTTGTATTTTATGTTTAAGGTATAAGTGATGCATTTAATGATGATCTGACTTGGCAGCAGAGCAGATAGATAGATAGATAGATAGACATTATGAAAAATCTAACATGGCGGCAAATATCACAATATTTTATATAATCCAATATCAAATATCATTAAACTTTTACATCACTTATGATTTAATACAATCAAAAAACTCTATTGAGCAAACACAAAGGAGGGCTTATTGTAGTGCATATCCACTGGGATGTGAGACAGAAGAGCTTGTTAATGGGTGTCTTATTTTCTACAGTTTTTTTATCAGTTCTATCCATCCCATGAAATGAGCACCTTGTTTAGCTCTTCTGATGGAAGCTAGATGCCAAATTGGAGACTACTGCATGAACGTATACAAACTAGTCTTAGCTACAAGGTGTTGGAAGCTGAGCTGTATCATAACATGATAACAAAGTGGGACCTGCCAACCAGTATGGAGAAAGTGCAGCACAATGTGTGATATAATGTCACAATCACAAGCCCTACTGAAATGGGACAAGAAATGAAATCAAGTTGGTGCCAGCACCACAAGTATCAACCAACAACCCCTAGCTACGAAACATTCGATGGCAAACACTAAACTGTCACACTTTCACAACAAGATGAGAAGCTGGACACCAAGAGAATCTTACCTGTGCTGGGGTTGGTTTTGGGGGCTCCTGTCCCAGGTGGCCTAGCTATCTTGCTGGGCCCTTTGATCCCACTGGGCTTGGCTGTGCTCATGTTTCTTCCTGTGATCTGTTAGACCCACAAGGCTTGTGTCCGTCAGTGGGTACAGACTGACCCCAGACCATCAAAACAATTGGTTGCAACTATGTGTTGGCGAAGTTGTTCTCTTCGCACCAAAAAAAAAAAAAAAAAAAAAAGTTTTGAACAAAAATAAAAACCAGGAAAAGGGAGGAGGGAGAAAAAGTGGTGCTCACAAAAAGGGCCCTGTTTAGAGAGGGGGAAAAAAGAAACATTACATGACTTTGTTTAAACTTACTCAAATATATTTTACCAGGCACTCAAAGTATCACTGATGGCTAATTAATCAGGAATCTAATTATTTACCCAAGTTAATTCATCATTAAGGTAGTAAATGTATGTTGTATTTGCTGACTTCTCTCAGCTCTGATTCTGTGGGTGCCACTGACAGCCATTATTTACTTTGAGTAAACTAATGAATAGCGAGTACAGATATGACTTTGAGACATGCTCATTGACTTTGTTTTTGGTGCTCTGTTAATGGACGCATTTTGTTTCTGTTATGACAACGAGCTCCTCAGCAAACACCACGTCACAGTAAGACCTAAAAATAACCTGTCAAAGGCCAGCCAATATGTAGTCTATGTTGCTGCCATCATGATCTTCTGAATAGCTCATCATCTGTGACCTTGACCACAATACACACAGTACCCAAAACACTTTGTCTCACTCAGTCTATCATTCTGGCACATGAAATCATGTAAATCTGGTTGGCAGCTTTTTCTAAAATGGGATTACCGTAGAAACACAACCACCACCAGCAGGAGATTATCCTGTTGGTCAGATTTCCTCTCCACAGAAACTGATGAAACTACTATTTAAACATGTTCTCCCTGTTGTTAGGTGTTTTGCAATATGGCTGTGTGAAGGTGGCATCATTATAGTTTTTTATACAAGTATTGCCTTGATAAATTAAACCAAACAAGACCAAAACTACTGAGAAAATACTGCCAAGCATTTGGTTTCAAATCAATCTGACAGATCTGTAGCCTCTCAGCCTCTTTCAGAAGAAGGCTGCATCATACTATCATGATCTCTTCTCTGCAGAACAGTTTCACATCAGGTCAAGGACACCAAGTCTGATGCTTGTCTGATGATTGTGCAACTACAGCCAAAGCAGTGAAAGATAACCACACAAGAAACCTAAAGCAAGGATGACTCAACAATTACTACACAGTTATCATAGTAACTGCACACATGTAGTTTCATGAGCGCCTAGACAGTGTATGTATACAAACATGCTTCTGCCATGGTGCATTACAAAATTACATTTGGTAACAATTGTTTTGAAACAATTTTGGTTTTCAAAAATTTAGAATTTTCTTTGATTTATGAAATTGAAGGGATTCATGAACCCTTTAAATTTCCTTTACTGTGAGATACACCTATAAAAAATTGTATCAGCAAACCCATGACAATATGTCAGAGTGCCTTCTTGCCTCCCCAACAAAGTCAAAGTTGTTTTGAGTCTACTTTAAGTCAGCTAAGATACCTGACCTCACGCAGGGTAGAAATTTAATATAGAACGTATTCAACAGCAAAACACAAACATGCATTTCATTCCTGAAAGGGCCTAAGAGCTACAGTATGTAGGTTCACCAAAACAACCCAGTAGAAAGACTCTCACACACCTCTTAAGATATTTCTCAGCAGAGAATGAAGGGTAGCCATCAGCACACATAACCTAGTTTGAATGCAGTGTTCTGGTTTTCCCCTACTGTGTCTTTGAATGATACTGAAGTGCCCTCAGGTCAAAAAGAGGCCAGACCAAGAAATCACTTAAATGGCTAGAGACTGTGTGGTGGAAATAAAAAGAAATGTAAAAATCATATGCAGTATTTGCCAAATTGTTACAGCCAAAAGTTAAACAGCAAAAAGATGTTAAATAAGAAAACCACCAAGCTTTAGTAGAACTGTCTTGAGAGCATTAGCAGAGGATGTTTCAGCTCTGATTGGTGAGCTGATGCAGTCAGCTGAAAATGATCCACTTAGTCTGGAGAATTTCCCACTGCAGTAATGTTAATCTTTTGCCACTCTCACTCTAATCTGTAGCCAGGAAGAAAGCCAAATGTCAATGTTTTGCATAGGTTTAAGGGAATTAATCTAATGATGATTTTCAAAGTGAAATACTTAACTAGAATAAACTTCAATCTTAAACTATCACCAAAATCCACCATTGTCTGTTTTCATTATTTCTGATTACATAGAAACAGTAAATGGCAGCCTGTAAAACAGAACTGAGATTTAGTCTACTTCTCAAATGACCACATATACATCATACACTTCCATATTTGTAATGTCAGAAGTTTACATGCTTACAGTCTGTCCAGGCAATGGATTAAAAAAAAAAAAAAAAACACAGTGGGAAGGGAACGGTACTTACATCCCACATATTTTATTAGGCATATCTTTGCTGACTATGAGGACGCAAAAACATGTTTTTATACAGACATAAGATACATTTGTAGTAACAGTAAAAACTCTATCCATTTCTGCCTGGGTACACAAGCCAGTGGGCTTTGATTCCACCTTGTCTTTCATTAAGCTAATATTACCTATTGACTTCAAGAATACTGAACCAAGTACAAACATGTTCCCTTTTAATGTTTTTAGAGAAGGTCAAGCTGTGACTGGGCTGTCTAAGTTTACAGCTCAAGCTATTGAGGCAGAACATTTTTCATGAGAGCTGTGAGATTGTTTTTAGGTGTAAACTATGTGTGAGTTCATTTTATCAAACAAAAAATAGGCTGTATGTAAAAGTATGTCTTCAGAAGTGTGTATTCACCTATACACCTACAATCTTATTTTATCATCACAAGGCCAAAGCAAGCTAGTTCTTCCTTTTTGAGGAAACATCTGCTGGGATGATTATGTAGGCCCCTGCTAGCACTGACAGAGGAAGGTGTAGAAAAATACTAACAGGACATAGGCAAAGAATGAGAGCGGGAAGCATCCTGCGTCCTCAGTGTCTGTGCATACAGATTCACCTGTTTTGACGTTAACAACCTTCACTGTCATTAAACCTATAATCATTTTCGCTGTATATATACATACAGCCCTACCCCGCACCAATTCTGGCTCTTACAATTGTACAAAGTGGTTTCCACTTGGGCTAAAATCAATAAAGCATGTGTGTAAAAACATTAAATTCCTGTTAAGTGACCAGTTCATAAGATCATCTGACTTCCAAACAAATGTAAGCCTTTCTTTCACATATTCTTAAATTCCATATCAAGAAGTTCAATGACTAGTAGAGATATAGAGATGTCTGACTTTCAAGTGGTATTGTGTTTGCAATTCCAAAGACTGCAGCCTGTCAAGCTTGAGTCATGTCAGTCCAAACAAGCTAAACTGCTTTTTGAGTCAAACAGAAAGGCTTGATCATAAAAAGCCTAAGACACACCTATATACAGCAAAACGATCTAATGCAGAGACTCCACACCTGCGTCACTGAAATATTACATGGTGTGCGCCTGGGCAGTAAAATAAGTTATCCTGAGGATTGGTCAACGAGTTGGCCTGTTAACATTACACCGCTTTGCCACCTTTATCAGTAGCTAACGGATTGAGAGCTGTCGATGAGGTGGCACGTTTGGTAACAGGGGAGCCAGTGCAACAATACCATGTCAGCTAACTTACCTTATTAGCTAATTCTGTGTCTCTGGTGAGATGATACCATGTTTATCACGAGTTGAAACGGCAACTACCTCCACATGTTCAAATATCTGAATAACATACTGACCGACTACCTTCGTAAGCTTAACGACTGAAGCAAATTCCTTAAGTCCAAAAGTCTCCGCAATGTCACCGAGGCTCCAGTAGGGCACACTGCTGCTACAAGTTGAGAGTCAGCATAACAAATTGTTTCAGATTAGATCACCTGTAAAGATAGCTTGCTGTATAATGTTGTTCTAATGAGCAACCAGCTGACTCTACTGTCACCTCTTCGTCTTAAATGAATCCCAGTATGTTATCACGATAAGAATAGACGTGATTAGTTGCTAAGTAACGTTAGCTGCGAGGCCCGAGCAATACCGCGAGCCGGTGGTCAGGACCAGGAGAAGGGCTGGTTAGCTAGCTAGCTGAACTAACACCTCAAGTAACGTCTTCACTACCTGAGCAACTTTCATCTTACGGTAGCGTTTAGTTTCGTGGTTTATCAACAGCAAAATGACAAGAAAGTTTACGGAAATACATGACCTCGGCGTGAGCTAATACTGACCTGATATGTTTCTATACAGCCTTCGTCTTCTGGGGAAAAAAAATTACACAGCTAGCGAGCTAAATGGGGAACCGCGACGACTACTGCTCGGATCACACAGGAGCAGGCACAGCCCAGTGTACTAGCTATGTGTCCAACGGCCGAGAGTAACGTCAACCAAAGATGATATGTTTAGTAAGATGGAGCACTCCCCACAAAAAACACTTCACTGTTGCAATGAAGAAATCAAAGGGAGTCAAATAAAGTTCGCTGCCAAAGTAAAGTTTTATACTGTGGAGTTATATCCTCACACATAAATTTTGCTTTCTGTAATTACGCATACACCCAATAAAAATGTCTTTTAGGATTGGAACAAGTTGGAACATGCTTGATTAATCGAGAATTCCCACATAATACTCAGAATTTGAATACAATTTCTGAATTTTGAATATGAAGACAGCATGTAAACATAGTTTAAAAATCTAAGCCAATTGCTGCAAGGTAAATACCTTTATTTAAAAAGGCACAAATGAAGACATCATTTTCAATCATTTTTACATGACTTTGCAAGATGTTAAATATTCAGTCTCTTGATACTCTCAGAGGTTCGGCACACCCACACATATGTGCTTGTGTGCATGTATATTTGCATAAATATGTATGTAGGTGTGTGTGAGTATTCAGTATGCAAGTCATCAAATCTAAGTGCAAGTATTCTCTATGCATGAGGGTGTTGGTGTGCACTATATGTACTAATAATTTCTGAACAGTGATAAAAAAAAAAACATGATTGATATTGACTTTAAAGTTGTTTTAAATCTATATTTTCTATAGGGAGATTGGTCTGAAAGGGGGGAATGAAGTTAATGTCAGATCTGATAGGAATCTATTTGATGAATGGAACAATAAAGAAAAATATGTAGACCAAACTCTGTAATATCATAAGAACAAAATTAAGATGTAGTAGGGCAGAGTTTCAGGTATACGCAATTTCATTTGCAAAGTTTATCATCAGAAAGTAAGCTGATTACAGCAACAGAGGCTCAACTTGTTTACTGACACCAATTACAGCAAAATAAAATCAAACCCACATCTAGGGTTGACCAGCAGACAAAATAAAGCACTGAAGCAAGCAGGTTTATTTGATTTTAGAGCAATTTAAGTGGGACAAAAATAGAAAAAGCCATTTAAACAACATGTTATGAAAATTAATCAAGAAATGGCCATTTAACTAATTTTACCATAAAATCAACTGCCCAAGTATCACTACTACAAAAATCTGAGACTAATTAGTCAAAACGTACGAGTCATTGCTGTTACATCATCCCCTCATTTTATGTTTACAGATCAAATGTATATACAGCATACACATTCAACTTTGTACAAAATAACAAACAGCTAAAAAAAAACATGTTTGATAGGATGGAGTTGAAAATAAAAATATAGGTTTTTGCTTTAAAAATGTCCATGTATCCTTGTATTTTGCAAATAAAGACAGTAAATCTTTATTTTTTCTTTGCCAAACTTCGAGGGGAGCTTTTAAGTAAGTCTCTGATCCTAAGGTATGTACCAGTGGCTTCAGCAACTTCAGTGAATTCTGGTGTATCTTCAAATGGAACAATGCCAGCTGCAAACCTGCTCCGATGAGGAACAGCTGTTATCTTCTCAACATGCTTAGGAGAAGAACAATCTCCAGCGCCCCTGTTAGAGAAATCTAGATCAGGGCTCTGTGGGTTGTCTTCCTGGGATTTGACTGGATCAGGACTCTGTGGACTTTCATCGTGGGATTTGACTGGACCAGGACTCTGAGGGCTGTCATTGTGGGATTTGACTGGACAAGGACTCTGAGGGCTGTCATTGTGGGATTTGACTGGACCAGGACTCTGAGGGCTGTCATCGTGGGATTTGACTGGACCAGGACTCTGGGGGCTGTCATCATGGGATCTGACTGGACCAGGACTCTGAGGGCTGTTGCCGTGGGCTTTGACTGGTTCAGGGCTCTGAGGGCTGTCTTCCTCAACTTTGATCAGCCCAGGGCTCTGAGAGCAAATCTCTTGAACTTTTGATTCCATTTGATTTTCACTGCTAGGGCAAGTTTCTCCAGGTGTCATTGTGTCCATTGCTTCTTCAGCCTCTTCTGTTTCTGTGTCGATATGTGCAGGTGTGGACACACTTGGTGAACTGGGTACAGGTGTTCCCATTGCAGGTGTCTCACAGTCACTATTTGTGGCAGTGTCAGCATTTTCTAGAGCTGCCCAAATCAGCCTCTGTTGCTCTTCCAGTTCCTCCAGAGTCAGGTCATCCTCTGTTCCCTCCACAGTCTCATCAACTACTCCCCAATTCCGCCCTCGCAGAGCTGGAGAGCCGTTGGTGGGTGTGGGAGGAGGTGTACCTTTAGGGAGAGGTGGAGGAGTGGGTGTCGCAGGAGGAGTGCCCTGGGGTAAAGGAGGAGGTGAACTGAAGCAAGGAGAGCCAGGGGGCAGCGGTGGTTGGAACTGGAAGTCACCTGGGCCATGAGACTGATAAGGTGTTCCTGGGTCTGGGGGAGAAGACATGAATATGGTCCCAAAAAGATTTAAAAGTGATACTTTGACCAAACATAGAGGCATCCGATTTAAGTATTACTGTGTATTATTCTGCCAAATTAGAGATTACTGTTAAAATATAACTGTGTGTTCTGGACATGTAATGCATAGAATGTGCCTGCTTAAAGAAAGTGACCAAGCTGAACAGTTACCTGATTCAATATCCATATCCGAGCTCCTGTCTGAGGTCCGATCAGGACTGGACCTATTCTTCTTCCTTATCTGTGGTGATGAGTCAGATTCATGACGTCTCTTGTTGCAGGTAGCACCAGGCTGTTGGCAAGGAAGAATGACATGTGGAATGATACTATTTAAGGGCTCTGCCCAAAATGCAGTCATCACACATCCTAATCCTAATCTGATAAAGACTGTCAATGTAAAAATACAGAGGCAGGAATGACAGAGCGGACTATGCAAGATTAGTATGATTGGCTATTCAAGTGGGATTATGAAGAATGAGCATCCACTGCATATGGACAGCACGGACTGTTATATATAGCAAAGTGGCAGGCTGAGGCCAGCTATGACACACACTGAATGGTATTTTCTTTTTTAACCTCCAAGCAGATACAAGAGAGGTGTAAGAATGACAGGAGTTTTTGCATTTCTAATGTTCCTCTTTAGTGTTTGTGGGATATATAATTACCTCCAGCAAGGAGGTTGCGTTTTTACCCATGTCTTTTTGTTTATTGGTTTGTTTGCCAGTAACCAAACTTGTTGGAAGGATGTGACCTTGGCCAGGGAGGAACCCATTCAATTTTGGTGCAGAACCGGTTAAAAGGGCGGGTCTGTGAATTTTTTTAATCTCTTTCCTTAACATTACTCATAATGTTAAGGAAAATGATTTAAAAAAAACAGTAACAAAAGACATTTTTCAACACTTTTGTCATTTTTTCAGGAAATAATGTATGGATCTTGGTGGGAAAAAAAAAACAAACAAAAAAAAAAACATACATTATGGTGTTGAGATCTATGACTTTGTAGAATCTGGTGCAGATCCAGATAAGTATCTGGATCTGACAGACAGGTGTAGGATTGTTTGGTCGCACGGTATGGAGGTATGTGCCTTACTGAGTGCCATTCTAGTGTTTTGTGTATTTATATTCTGTGGTTCTATTAGGTTTATAATCTGTGCTGTGGTTATTTATATTCTATGTCTTCTGATGAGTCTTGGATGATAATAATACAAACATTGAAAATTCCATGGTAAGTGTTGATATGTAATATCCAGAAAGTTTGGTACAGTTTACGAGATAGTCAGATAGGAAGTTGTTCTTAAAGGAAGCCTGGATGGTGGTGTGGCATACATGTTTTGAAAGGAAACACCCAACCACTGAGGGATTTTAAAATATTTACCATGGGAAAATTGTTAGACAGGTAGGCAGCATAGTTTTGCTTCATGTGGTTGTTCTGCATTGGAGTCGAACCATACTGAATGAACTCCTGAAGGCCAAAAAAAAAAAAATAGTGTTAGACATGCAACATTTATAAAAAAGTGCCACCAAAATGCACTGAAAGACAAGTGTACTAAATTTATGAAGTGACTCATCAACAAAATAATTTATACACAAATATACAGTAGCTCCAAGTGACATTATGCTATAGGACTTACATCTTTCATTTTGTCCGGTGCAGGTACATTGAAGCCTGGGAAATCTACCAGTTTGGAAACATCATAAGAGATGTTTTGCGAGTTGCTATTGTCTGTTATATTGCCATTATTTGAAGCTACAAAAGAGAAAAAAAAATGATTAAGACCAATCTCTGTATATTTCAGAAACATCCTTATGTTTATCAGTAGTTTACTCGAATGAAACTCAGTAGGACCACATAGTAATTTGAAACTTACTATTTCCATCATACAGCATTAAGCCAGAGTTTTCCATCTCTGCCTCTTTGAGCCAACCTGGTGGGTAGCCTAGCTGCCTCATGCGATAAATCAGAGGAGGGAGGGTGTTGCCATCAATGCCCAGTGCTGTCAACAGCTCCTCACTGTTCAAAAGCACAACAAAGTGAAAAATATTCAATAATCAACATCTACTTTTACTTGATCCAATAGGTATTGCATGTGGTAAGATTATGTTTTTTTTCTCTTGTGTTCAAAGTAACAATCCTGCCTCATGACTCCCGGCTTGTATTTCGCAAACCGCTCCTCCACTTCATCAGCATGGTATCGTTGATTACTCTGCATCGCCTGGTTGTTGTTTTGGTTGAACTCCTTTCTTCTTTCATTAATTGCAGCCATGTCTTTAGGCTATGGAGGGAACCATGTATACATGTAGTAAATCAATTTCCAACTCTTCTGTGTTTAACTTGAGTTCATGCCATAATAATGAATCATTAAATCATTATTCTTACATTGGGACAATCTCTCAGCTGATGACTGCTGGAACCACAGTTGAAACACATGGATTTGGGTCTAGAATGAACAGATCAGTAGTGGACTCATTATACAGTGATATGCCACACAGTAACTGGACAAAGCAAGTTATAAACAGAGGACAGGAACTGAATAAAGCTTCCATTAATAATCGGTCGTACCTTTTGTCTTTCATTTCGATTTCCTGACCATCTGTTCCGACAACTTGGTTGAACACCTGGTGATAGCTTTGCAACATTTCAGGAAATTATATTGCATTTGTCCACACTGCAATAAAATCGTATCTAATTATCTTGTCTACATAAACTTTTCAGTATGAGTCCTGCTTATGTGCTGCTCCTTTTTAAAATATGAACATACATGTAAAAAAAAAAAAAAAAAGAAAATAAAGACAACTTTCCAAATTCTCCCTCAACAAAATTACATGTAGAGAGCAAATGACCTCGCAGACTATACTGGCAGTAATTGTTTGACAAGGTGCCAATTTATCCATCTTAAAGATACGTTGGAATGTCCCATCCATCTGTCAGCTGGGGGCTTTCATTGACCAGAGGCTGTCCAAGTTTATCAACACTGAAAGTAGTGAAATATAAGACACTTCCAACCACCTAAAACAGAAAAATAAGAAAATAATTTATGTATATATGTATATCTTTCCATGGGGCAAGAAATTGTGCCATATGCAAACCACTGAGAAATACCAGTAAATACTCACTTTAAAGGCTTCTGTTGTTGTTCTTACACTAGTGGAAGACGACTTCAGCAGATCTTCATCCATAGCAAAAGCTGAATTCTTTGTAAAGAGTAGAACATGTTTTTTTCTCCTCCAAGTCATAACTATTTGGATATTAATCATCATAAAATAAATTATGGGTAAATACCTGAGGTTTATGGTGAAAAGAAGACTTTTTCTTTCCATGGCCCAGTTTCTGGTGCTTCAAAATCACACTGCAGATGCAATCTTCAATTTCTTGACGACACTGCCTAAAGGGGAGACATTGTTATTTTTTATTTATCATCATTATTCACAACTCAGTGTCTCGCTAACAAATTAGCAGTGAGGTGTACACACAGCGAGGCTATAAATATGCTGTGAGTTAATCTTATTAGTCATAACAAAAAAGCTGAAAGAGATGTTCAATCAAATCAAACTGTTTTACCAGTAACGTTAACACAATCAAAATATTTCTATTATATCTTTAAAGCCAAGACGGACGGGACAAAATTCACTGTTCAATTCACAACTGAGCTAACGAACCCAGTAACTGATTATAAAAGGTTGCTCACTTTGAAATATTGTTGTTTGCATACAGGATTTGAAGAAGTGGTCCATCGATGTTGACATCTTCAATTGTGATGCCGCTGTAAAGTCAGAGGGAAATTAGCCTTTATTACTGGGTGAAGTTTCGTTTTATTTGTAGTACGCATCACCAAAGTGTTAGCCCATTACCTTGGCCGTGTCAGGATATTCAGTTTCCTTCTTAAACCTTTATGTGGTCTACGAGTTAAGGAAATAGACAGAAAGCCTTCAACAATATATCACTAAACATTTTCAGGTTACGCATTTTCTGTTTTGATTACACACAGGAGGCTGCTAGTATACCCCAGCTAGTGCTACAGCCACAGTGCTAGCACACACCGAGCGCATCTGACATAAGGATATTTTCCTCAGTGAGTCTCTGAATGTAGTCATCACACTCCTCCAGCCTGCCCCGGAGCTGGCTCGTCTCCTCCTGGTCTTCCTCTTCATCTGTGAAGCGAATGTGTGTCGGCACGGGCAGTGCGGACTCATCGAGCTGCTGAAAGAGCTCACTATCCCCGAAATCAACTTCGGCCATTTTTGCCAAGCTCTGTCGTGCAAGACTGGAGTTCAGAGGTCAAAGCGACAACACTTCGTATTCATTGGTCTACCTTATGTCACGTGCTGAGTAGACAAAAACATGATGGGGAGAACAAATCAGGGGTTTTTAGCCCACGGTGTTGTATTACAGGTCACAAAATGTATAATATATATATATAAAATAGTTAAAAAATCAGCTACACTTTAACCAACTACAACAGTGGCATTCTGCTTAGACATCAATGTAACATTGATGATAATCTAATGATAGTATAATTGTCACAGGGGGGCAATTTTCTGCGTCCACTATCTTTACTTTTTATAATTTAAGTACATTTTCATAATTACAATTATTTTTTACAGTTTATTAGTAAATTTTCTTAAGCAAAAGTTATAAATACATCCTCTGTCACCGTGCTCAAGTAAGGTGCCTTCTTTGTTTTTTCAAAGGAGCCACAGTTTATCCACGGTGGCTTCTTTGGTCTGTAAGAAATCGTTGAGGGCTTAAAATACTAGTGTTTCTGCTACGTTGATCCAGTTCTGTTGCAGCCGTCTCACTTCTTCACTTTCGTTTTCAATATTTAGTTAAAACCCTGTTTCCTACCGGACAAGACACAAATGTGACTAAGTGGGAAGCTTCATTAGCTTCCAGCAATGGCAAGTTGCTCAACGATCCACTTAACCTTACCGCAATGGGACGGCGGCTCGCGGAAAATTCGCTTTATTTACTTGGTGAATCTGACATCGTTCAGGCTGACTGAGTGTCCCCGTAAGGTGAGTGTTGAGGACCACTTTTTTTTTTGCTCTTACACAGCAACGAAAACGGTACATTTGTTTTTCTAATCGCATCACATACAACCCCTGAAACCAGCCAGAGTGTGCTGTATCCGCCACCATCATCACAGCTCCAAGCAAAGGGAGCAAGTGATTATGTGTCAGTCACATACTTTTTAAATTGTATATCAAAAGTGTTATACATGAACATTTTGTTAACCAAAAGGAGATTTGTTAACCCTGACATTTTTGACTACATATATAAGCGTTCCGCATGTTTTTTTGCATTGTGTAATTTCCATGAATACCATTTACGTAAACAGTAGCTTCAAAAAGAGGTGGTCTCATAGCTAACCTCTGTTTCAGGCTCCAGTGATTCCTCTATATTTAGGAGCTGATGTCTTCTCCAGCACTGATATCCGTACAGAGAACCATCCCAGATACCACGCCAAGTTTGCCAAGAAAGGACTGGCCACAAAAATAAAGTTTTCCTCAGGTGAAATGCACATAACAAACAAACACTTACACCAAATGCACACACATACAGTGCAGTCACACTTAACACTATTGCCTCTTGTTTTGTTGCAGCATTCAGGTTCCATGGGTTGAAGGTACCTACTGCAAATAACAGCCTCTGGTTCTATAGCGTTCAAGGACTTTTTCGAGTAGCATTTGAAATGTACAATAAGCAAGAGCAGCTTGCTGTTCTGGAGCATTTCCAGGTACAGTGCTGTTCATATGTTTCTGCATGATGTATTTGCTTTCTTTTAAAGATACCCCAAATGGTCTTTTGATATATTATGGTCTCTCCTCTGTAGGATGTTTGGAAATCGCAGATAAATGACAGCCCTCTGAAAATTAGTTACAACCTGAGTGTGCAGCTCGACTTTGCAGTATCCAGATCCAGCAGCATGTGCGATACAGAATCAAGAAATGAAATGTCACAACCTCAGCATTGCCAGGTTGTCAGGGAAGTGGTGGATGTATGTGACAGTGAGACAGGTGATAAATCAGCAGATCATGATTATTGTTCCTTTCACAGGAAAAGCTTGCAAAGTGAGCAAAGCCAACTAATTTTATCCAAAGTGAGACTAAAACTGCACAACTTGGATGACAAACTCTCCTCAGAGAATCAAAGCCACACAGAACTGGAAACTATCTTCCTTCTTCTGGAGAACATTGATCAGCACATGAATGGGAATCTAGAAGAAAAGGATGTGACGAAAACTGTGTTAGCCCTGCTGAAGGCCAAAGACTGGGGCTCTGTGTATTCAAGTTCCCTGCTTAGTTGTATAGGACAATGGCTGGGCCAACAGTTTCATGCAGCCAACAGTAGCATTAGTCAAAAAGTGGAGGGCTTCAAAGTTCAGCATATTGAACGAATAAGTGACTTGCCACCTGCTGAGGAACTAGCCACAGAACTATTCCCAGAAGCCATGCAAACACTGCTGCTTCACTGGATGGGCTTAAGTGAAGAGTCCACCCTGGAGAAGAGACACAGTGAATACCCAATCCTGCTCCTTATCCTCGAGTTTGCCAACCACAACCTCATCACTGGTGTGGCCCATGTGCTGTACTCCAGTCTTATTTGTAAATAAGAGTGAATTTCCATGTAGGTGTCAACAAGAAAAGCCTGCAATTTAACTCGTGGTGCAGTGGTTAGCACTGTCACCTCACAGCAAGAAGGTTCTGGGTTCAAACCTTCTGTGTGGAGTTTGCATGCCCATGCCCACTTGGGTTTCTTCCAGGTACTCTGGCTTTCTCCCACAATCCAAAGACATGCGGGTTAGGTTAATTGGCTAATAAAAATAAATGATCTAAATAAAGCCCTGTGATAGACTGGCGACCTGTCCAGTCCTTGCCCAATGTGAGCTGGGATTTGCTCTAGCCCACCCGCGACCCTATAAGGATGAGCAGTGTGGTGAATGAATGAACTTCCAGTATTCTAATAAATGTGTATTTCGTATGTGAAGTTGTACTTTCTTTGATTGGACAAATGCCTCTTTTCTGCTGCACATACTATTTCGATCAGGTTTGGTAACAATTTGTGCTGGGTGACAATTCAATATTGTTTGACTTTAAGTGAAAATGTATTTCAATATAATTTGAAGCTATTGTTTTACAATATACAATGTAATGAAAAAGATTTACCTACAATTAATTTAACTAGACATCAGTAAGATTCCAAATGATTTTGCCTTCATTTGTTACACTGCAATATAAACTGATATTACAAAAATATTATTTTGATATGTTAATTTTACTTAATTTTAATTTCAAACCTGGTAACATTCAACCTGGTAATAGTAATGTTAAAGTGTGACTTTCAGTGGTGGAAGAAATATTCAGATCCTTTACTTATTTAAAAGTACCACACAATAAACCAAATAAACTAACCGATCAATGCAGCGGTAGACAAGCAACTACAAAATGAATGTTTTTGTCAATGGAGTCTGGTGACTTTGAACAGAGCAATATGATTGTTTCTGGTTAAACAAAAAGGATCTTACACTTTAATAAAAAGGTCAGTCTCTGTAAGGAATCCAATCAATTACGTTGTCGAACACTTAAAACAATCTGAACCAGTCAGTGGAAAAAAAAAAGTTCTTTGGGACGTACTTCGACATGGACAAATGCACCATTTGATTACACTGCAGCAGCTGTTCAGCAGTTCCAGGTATACTGTTCTTGCTTAATAGTGGACGGACTGCAAAGATTTTTGTTCATATGAATTATTTACACCAAAAAACATGGGAAAGTAGGATTGAGGTTCCAAAATCCCAGTTATTCTGTAACACCACGCCAATGCAAAGCACTAACTTTATGTGAAGCAAAATGACCCACATAGATATCACATGAAATAAAAAATTATTCAGTGAGATATGTAAAATCTTACGCAACACAAAATTAATTTATTTCAAGAATATTTGAAATATGTGATTACTCTTCTTGGGCCCATCTCTGTCCATGGCAATCCTCTAGACAATATGTATTACAGCCCACTGTTTTGTTTTTCCCAATCAGGAGAAATGAAACTAAGGGATTCTGATAATGACATTGACTTCAGATGCCTTTTGCTAAATGGATGTAAACAGTGTTCACTTGAACCACATTATAATCAGTTTATGTTCAAACAATCACATATCAATATATATATTTAAGTTTAAAAAAAAAAAAAAGCTATCACATTATTCAAAACAACTATCTAATTTTAACCAGCATCAACCTCCTGTGAAATTGATGCTTCCTTTTTCAAAGATGTACAGATTAATCAACACTGAGACAAACTCAGCATCTGAGTATTTACATTATAATGTTCCAATAAGTGAGATGTTTGTCTATAAATAAATTACAGATTCAGAGCAACATCCATGCAAGCTTGAGGGCTAGCGATGAATTGGTAGTCCAATATGATCAGATGAGTGGCACTGACAGTCAAGGTTTGGCACTAGATAGAATCCATTCCACGAGAGAATGAGGAGGAGAAGCCAAGCCCCATTCCCCTCTGGGTGTGTGTCTGAGACCGAGCCATTTCATACTGAACGTCAAGGTTCCTAAACATCTCCTCCTGTTTTTGAAGAGTCTTCAAGCCATCATCATTAAGTGGTTTGGAAGCTTCGACATCCTCATCTCCCTGTACAGACAGTAAATTCAATTTAACTCTGAGAAGTTACAGGTTGGAAAGCTGAAAGTTATGACTGTAAATTTAGCCAAAGTATCAAACGCATTTAGGTCACGTAAAGTAACACATTTACTTACTTTAATACCCATTAGTTTGCGAAATTTAACATTTTGGTCCTTGTTTCCAAAGTTTAGCTTCTCCCACAACTCAGCTGTCTGGGACTTGTCCTTAAAAGAAAAAAAATGTTAGCCTATTTAGACAATTTGAGGAAGTAAAACTGGGCATGCATAGTGGAAAAATAACAAATAACTGCATAACCTAATCTTACCCCATCCTTCTTTCCCTGCCATAGCATTTTTCTCTTTTTCTCCTGTTCTGCAAACTTCATGGGGTTTACAGCAGAAGGGTTGTAGTAGCTGGGCACAGCAATACCAGTCTCTGCCAGTGTTTTTGCTTGAAGGGCTGCCATTTGTGCCGCCATGGCAATCTGAGGTGTGACCTGTGTCCCAGAGGCCAGGAGTGCTGCCACATTGAGGGCGGGGTTTGAGGCAGCTGCTGCAGCAGCAGCAGCAGCAGCGATGGGGGCAGCTACTGAAAACAAAATACACAGAACAGCATAAATAACTTAATGCAGATTTGACGCAAGTTATAAAAGTTTTCAAACTTTACAAAATAAGCCATTCTCACCTGCAGCTATTTCCTGCTGTTGCTGCTGCTGTTTCTCCAACATTTCCTTCTCTTTCTGTTCCTGTAGTTTCTTGGCTCTCTCCAGCCTGGACAGAAAAAGAGTGAAGATCATTTTACTCAGTTTAAAAAAAGAAACACACCATACTAAGTGCAGTGTGCTTAAAAGTGATAATATGTGTGAACTTAAACAAACCAAATCAATCTCATTACACATAATACATAACATTCTATGGTAACAACCCTATCAGTTTATGTTATGGCCACCAGTTTTACTTATTTCAACTTTGTTTCTAATATATCATGTTTTGTCTGTCATAGACATGAACTGGAATGGTACGGAATTCAGAGAACTTCATCACTGCAGTTGTGAACAAAAGGTGGCCCCATAGCTTTTGAATTCTATTTTATTTAAAGTGACCTGATTTAAGCTGCTGCATGGTGTTTTCAGTTTGCTCATGTGACAGAATTTTAAGCTTGGTGATGGGATGTTTATTGCTAAAATACACCTTAGGAGTCAGGGTGAACTGAAAATTTGTATGTAAGCTTGTACCTCAGAGTTTTTAATCAAATAAAAAACAGGTGGTTTGTAACATATTTGAACAAGGAGAGTTTCAAGTCAATCCAAGACGTAGAAGTGCTCCAACTGTGAGTGTAGCACTGTCAATGGGAAAAATGAATGGGACTTTTAAATCTAGAATCAGGGGTGTCCGGAACGGCCCCTCCCAATTAGTCAGCTGCAATGAGAACCACTAACATTGCCATCAAGTCCAGAATGACCAGCCATCTATATCGTAAATGCCCTGTACGCTGCTGCCTTACCTTCTGGCCAGGGCCTCTTGCGCATCCATAGCTGTGTTTCGGCCTCGAAAGGCAGGTGGATTAACAGACCTGCTTCGACTCTTTCTTCGCACTTTCTCAGTCCTTTTCTTTCGCTCCCTGGTGGAACAATCCAAATCATTTCATGAACGTACTATTAGTGACATGTAGAATGGGCAGCATGGTGAACAAGAGTTCAAAAATACTTACAAGTATATACTACTACAAGAAATGCTCATTTCAATCAAGCCCACCTGCTCTTACTGCGACTCTTGCTATGATGACGGTGTTTGGTCCTTGAACCTGAGCGAGACCTAGCCTTCTTCTTCCTGTCCCGGCTGCGTGACCGTGATCGCCGTTTGTCCCGACTTCTGCTGTGATGCCGCCTGAAAGTAACAGGATCCAATTCATTATTATAAATCACATATATTACTGAAAGGTTCAAAGTGCTAAAATTACTTTATCCTTGAGAAATTACTGTACATCAAAAATGTTGAGTGGAATGTAATGAGACCACAAATTCTACAATAGTAAATATGATCAATTTGGTTATTTGTGGGGCTTATCCAAAAAATAATAATTCTACTAATGATAATGACGTAATTAATCTAGAAACTATATCAGACCTTCGATAAAAGCTTTTCTTCTGCATAATTAAACAAGTTAGAGGACTTGCTTAGTATACTTCTTTATACAGTCTACTAACCTCTCTCGTGAGTGTGACCTGGACAAGCTCCGGCCCTTGGAGAGCTTCCTGTCTTTGCGTCTGGATCGCTCCTCTCCGTTCTCTGCTGAAAGTCTCTCTTGCTCTTGCTGCTCATCTGTTTTTCTGTGTGATTTTGATGGCTTCTCAGAGTCCCTCTTTCGTGCCTGTTTTAAGAAGAAGTTGTCTCTTTCAGGAAAATAGTGCAACAAAAAGAGTTAGTACCATGGCTTACAGCAGAAGGTATGTAATAAATTTTGACAAGTTGAAAAAAAACCTTGTCATTTCAAATCCACTTTCAAAACATGTACAGAATGTCATTCTCAGAAAATGATTGTAACTGTGGGCATTTTTGTGATACAGACAAATTTGACTGCAACGAATTTCATCTTTAATCAAACCAGCATGTTTGGAAACTCTCTCATTTTTCAATAGTGTGCATTCAAACCTTAAGATCTAATTCTGAGGAAAAAAACTTTAATGTGGTTTGTCATTTCATCAACATCAACAATTCAATATTAACTAAATGCTTTGAACCTGAACCCATAGGGATGGGGATCCAACTTACTTCTTACAGCTTCTCTACTTGCGTCATCCAAATCATACAGCATACAATGGTAAATTAACATGAAAAACACTGCTACATTTTGTCAAATTATCTTAAAGCAGTCACACAGTGTTTATCTCTTGTGACCACGGTTTGGACAGTAGTCTTATACTCTTTATACAAACAATTAGTAAAAAAAAAAAAAAAAACACCATGAGATTCCATTTACATTAATTGAAAGATTCATTAGATTAATTATGCCCAGACCTGGCTGCAAGAGATGCAAGAGTTAATTCCATTTTTTTTTTACTAATAGTGTGAGACAAATAGGAGTTTGAATGGCAGATAGTTACCTGTCCCGGTAGTAGACATATTATTTTGCTATGTCAGCAGGGTCTTCTGTTCAGTCTCTTCGTGCATTAGCACGCTGAGTATGATTTATTGTAGAAATGTTATCATGTGATCTACACACAGGATTTAACAAAAAAATAAAAGGAAAAAAAAATCTACTCTTCACCATTTAATATGGTTACAAACAATGACAGATATCCAAGGATGAAAGCTTCCTTTGAGACATGTCTGCATAGGGAGGGTAAAAAAAGGACCCTTTCCATGTGAGCCCATCTCCATCTATTTCTTTCGTTCTTAACTTTGGTCATTGTAACATATTAAACCTAGTAAAACATACTCACCTCGACCTAACACTAACAAGGACTATAACTTAAGGCCTTCAAAATCACATCAAATATGTTTCTAATCATAGAAATTAATTCATCATTTACCTCTTTGCTCCTGCTGCGACTCCGTCTGTTTTTTCTGTCACCTGGAAACAGCAGAAAGCAAAGTGCTGACAAATATATATATTTCAAAATCACATTTTCAGCAAAACTGAGAAAAAATTAGGTTAGGAAGAGAACAGTAAAACTACTGTATTTAGTATTTTATGCAGTAGACCAGATTCTGGAGTAGTTGGGGAATTGAGTCTTTCCTATATATATGCAGATAATAAATTTCACATTGTGGCCATATTTTTTCTGGCTTTTTAAGCATCGTCAGGGAACTGTTATTGAATACTAACGTTTTCTTTCCCTGGAGCGTGACCTTGACCGTGAATGGTGGTGTTTGGAGCTTCTGGGAGATCTGGATGACTCCATGCTGTGTTTTTTTCTGTGATGAACTGGGGAGCCTGTTCTGGCCAAGTCGACAGAGTCGTTGTCACTTGCCTAAAACAAATGGATATGACAAAAAACATCAGCAGTTGATCAATTTGGTGCAGTTTGCTTATGTAGTTATATCTTAATTGTATACACCTTCAAAGGCAGTGTCAACTATTTCTTATCAGTTCAAAACCTTGAAATAAAACTGATATTAAATCAAAGATGATTTTAAACTAAGACGTATTTTGTCTGACAGCGCTATGTAGAACATGTATTTCAACATTACTGTATTACTTAATGAACGTGGACCGTGGACAATTACTAGTGCTGAAATAATATGATCATTAATAAACAAGTGTCTAACTGAATCAGTTCCAGTGATTGTTTCTTTACAAAGCAAAGATATAATAAATGTGCTCATTAACTTTACAAATGCAAAGTATACTTGTGTTACCCTTCCTCACATTACTGTTGAATTTAATGTAAATTTAATCAATTTGATACTTGTATCTTTTTACTGTCAAGGGCTCAATAAGATGTTTAAAGGCAGTTTTAGGGTATTTAATTGGGTTACAGTAAGTTGTTATGGACATTTATCAATAAAGCTTTGCTTGATTATTCAAAGCAATAATAGATTTAGCAATGCTGATAATATCAGTGTGTTACAGATAGAGTATTCATTTTAACACCTCATTTTGCACATTGTTTAAGACCACTTGTCAGCAGAGTGAATTTATTTAAAAGGTCATTTTAAATTAACACGGGTTTAGTAAGGATCAATTACACTGTTGATTAGTCATTCTTCATATGTTTATGCACTGTATTTATGGGAAAAATAAGCCTGCAGTTTTTTCGTATTCCACATTCTGCTTTTGTTGTCTTTTGCACACCCTTGTGACGCTCAACACTTTTCAGGTCAGCAAACATCCTATGGTATACTGTGGGATCCCTGAATATTTGTTTAATCATCTGAGTCCGTTCAGATGGTTAAGACTCAAATTAAAACAATTTGGTATTATCTATTAAATGGGCCAGTGGTTTCGATCCATACAAACTAATAACAGAGCTTTAAAATGCGCTATCAATAGCACTACCTTCTCTCTAAGTCCACTAATCTCACGGGTCTTCACAATGTTAACAGCTGCTACTGATTTTTATTTGTAGTCATTCTCTCAGCTGCGCTATTTCGAAATACGCCATCCAGTGAGGATAACTGAGTGTAATGATCTTTTAGACAGAAATGTGAAACGGTTATTATGGAAATCGTAGTAGCACAAAATAACTAGCCAGTTTGCTAATATGCTATCTAGATCAGCTAAACCCCTCTATGGTCGTCATTCATACTACCATCACAGAGCAATTTAAGCGTTAGCTAGGATGCTAAGCTAAGCAATGCTAACCGCCATCTTTAAGAAAAATGATTTCTGAATAGAATTGTACACTTGCAGTAACTCCGTTTAGATATTGATGCATTCTCTTGTGTCTTAGTTATGGCTATGTAATGGTACTTACCGACATAATTCTGAAGCACACCGTATATGTAACGCCGCTGTTTTGTTGACTGTGCAAACGAACACGGAGAAATAGCAAGCTGCAAACAGTCGTTGTGTGGCTCAGCGCTGTTCTGATCTGGGTTGCCAGGTGTAACCTCGTGAATCCCCTAGATTCAGAGAAATTACACAGTTGTTGAACCCCGAACGAAGGGAATGTAGTTGTAGTTACATACCAATTACAAGTAATGCGAGACATTCATTTTTACCACTGTGGGTTCTGCGTTTTGCAAGTTTGATAAGATAGAATACGAGGAATGGCGCTAGTATTTTTCTTATAAATCCCGTGTAAAATGTCTTGTTAATTTATTCAGTAGTCTGAAAATATATAATTACTAGTGAATGGAAGCTCCCTAACCTTTAATCCACTGTCTAAAATGTAGCAGTAAACCACGAAATAGACCGAAAGACATCCAACCTGGCAACACAGCAATGCTCTCCGGGCAGTCCTGCAATGCCCCGCCCCCCCGTGTAATAGTTATTGCTATTTTCCCTAAATCAGGCCTGTCAGGTAGCACTTACTCTCGGTTTGTGTAGAGCCCAAACAAGCCTCGTCTCAATTAAATGCATGAGATTTAAACTATAATGGCATAGCATTAATATATGGGCAGTTTACTTCTGCCAGCCATTACGAAGAAGGCAGAATATGTAAGTACCCTTCGACGGAAGCTGTATCTGGAAGGCATAATTCAGGGGAAAATAAACGTTGAAGACTGTTAGAGCAACCCGCCAAATTCTAAAGCTAATACTGTTGAGTTATGGTTGTCTGATATATTTCAGCGGTGAGTTATTATCAATTGTATACACTATTGTTCGCCAATGCGCCGTTATTCATAGATATCAGCAGTTCATTTTAAATTTAGTTGGTTTTATAACTGTCACCTGAACTGCTAGCATTATCGTTATCACAACATGAAGCTGTCAATGAAAGACAATTGAATTACTAGATAATGCTAACTTAGCTAGCCGAGCTAATCGATCGCATTTTCAAGTATTTGAACGACTCGTATCGAGGCATACTTGTATCACGATAATAAAAGATCACTTTTCTTCCGTGTAAGGTGAAGCTTCACGAAATGGCGACGTGGAGCGACGTTGAACTTCTGACCAACGAGGATACAAACACTGTCCGTTTGGGGAGTGTGTCAAGGGAGGAAAACTGTAGTGGCTTGTATCAGGTGGATACTCTGGTCAAAATCTCCACTCCCAATGAGGTAATGTTTAAATTCAGTATTTTAATGTATACGAACGCGAACATGCTCTAGTATCCCTGTTCCACCACGTATTTACTACACGCTCACATCCAGGGGTGTTGTGTTAGCGAAGAATACTGGGTGTTATGAAGGTATGTTGCCCTGATTCTTGCAGGTGCAGGCAGATCCCCGTCTCTCCGCCTCCAGTGGTTCAAACTGGAGCATTGTTGTTTCTGACAAGACAGTTATCTTGTTTGACCAGAGCTATCAGACCATCCTGCTGCTTCTTCACTTTGGTATACAGATTTATTTTATGTCCCCCTCTTGCATCTTCACTCTGTTTACAATCTGTCAGATATCAGTTTGTTTCTTCTTGAGATGACTGTGTGGCTGCATCCAAATCAGCTGGTCCAAGAATTTGTTAAGATGGCTGTGGACATTGCTTTCTCTTTATCAACATATATAAATATATACATTTATAACAAAAATAAAATCATTTTGAGATTGCTGTAAAGGTTGCATACCTGATTTTATTATATCCTTCTAATAATGCAAGTTTGATCTGTCACAGTAACTATTTTACATTAATACTAAGATTTATTTTTCAGAAACTGATGTGGATGCTATTGATGTGTGCCTGGAGGGACAGTTTCTGTTGGTCTGTGAAAGAAATGGAAACCTTCATTTGATCTATGTTCCACACAAGAGAATCCTTCTCACCAGGGTATGAGTGTTGTTTAATATCCATAAGGCCTACTAGAGCAGGATTACACTTGATATGACCACTCTGTGTTTAACCTTACATTGTTATACGTCTACATACTATTTGATTTCATCCCAAAAACTTGAGGAATAAAACTCAACTATACGTGATCGCAACAGATATATTCTTTTTGTGTCTTTCGTGTCATTTTCTGGGTTTTTAGGCTTTGGTTGAGAAAGCATCCAGTGGAGATAAGAAAACATATCGCTCTCTCATCATAGAAGAGGACAAGGCATCCTTAGGTGACATTTCTATATGGATATGAGAAGAATCCGTTGTTAGAAATGATTGTGTAATGTGTGTTGGGAACATGAACATATTTTTTTTCTCTAGTTGACTCATTTTTTTTTTCTGAATCTGAATTCTGAATCATGTGTTTCTGGTTGACAGGGATGTACCATGTCTTTCTTCTCATTAAGGATGGGTTTTTCCACATTACAAACCTTGCTTTGGCAAAGATCGAGACAGGTATCAAAATATTATGTACAGCTCATGTAAAGTTTTGTTGGAGCCACTTTTTTGACCAACTTTAAACTTTCCTTTTTCCTTTGACAACCCAGCCATTGAAAAAATGGATTTAGGAGTTTTGAAAGAGGTAAGTTAAGGCAATCTTCTTTCCATGCATTAGCAAATTAAATTTTTTTGAACAGCAGGTAAATAATCATTCTTTTCCTTAATTCAGCTTCAGTCTCTCATCAAGATAGACTTCTGCTCCACTAAGGATTATCATGACGAGGGCTGCAGTACTGCAGTGATGTTCAACCAGGGCCATGAAATCCACTTAATGATTGGGGTGAGTGTCTGTAAGAAAAGTCTTATTAATTTATTACAACCTGCAGTTATGAACATTGGTTACATGTCACTGAAACCATATTTAAAGGACAAAATATAAGACACTCTACTAATGGAGTAGGAAACAAATATTTATTGCTCCTTTTATTTTAGTCCCTGCAATTACTATGCTGTTATATGTCTCATTTTTCTGTAAAATAAAAAATCACAAGCAGCGAATTTGAAATGTTTATTGTAAATTAAGCATTCACGTACAGTACTTGCATCTAGATTCTCGCAGGATTAGATTTGCTGTTTTGTTACTGTTTCTCAGAACAGTTACGCTGCTGTAGAGCAACGCACAAACTAGGTATCTCTTCAAGATGAACTTGAAACCAATCTTTAGCACAAAATTAAGGCAAAGTTTTGAATTAATTTTCAACCCTATATAAAACCTTTCTGGAACTGATAATTACTCCTTATATAAAGCCGTGACAGAAGATTATTATCTTCACAGGGGGATAAAGAGAATGTTTTGACTCACTGGATGATGGACCATCATCAGGCCAAGATGTGTCTTGCTCACTCTGTCAACAGTGACTTAATTCCAGGTAAGCCCTTGGGTAGGAAAAAATCCAGAGAAACACAAAGTATCAGGTAAAAGAAAAAAATAAATAGAAATGTTGTGCAAGAATTGTAACATCTCCTTATGATAATTTCAAAGGCGTGAGGAAGATGGTGGTGGTGGAGAATCTCTTGTATCTTCTTGACACTGAGGTGAGCTCAGTGATATCACCATGAGCTATTTGATATACCAGTGCATGTTATTCAGTCATTAAGTATTTGAAATTTACATATGGATTACTTTGTGTTTTTCTTCTGTCTCAGGATGTCCTGAGTCTTTGGGACCTGCATTTCCTTGTCATGATCCACTGTTGGCCAGACCTTGCCATTCATGACTTTGAACTCACCACAGAATGTGGCTCCGCCTCCATGATGGCGTATGTATCAATGTTTTATGACATACTGTAGCTGTGAACATACAGAGGGCTGTGCTGCCTTTAACCAATGTTGAAAATGTAAATTAATGTATGTATTACAGCCAAGACAAGGGCAGCATGAAGATGATTGCACTGACAAAGCAAGACAACAGCCAGGTAGTAGTGCACCTTCTTTTTAAGAAAGTATAATAAATGATTATTTCAAGTCCCATTCAGAACTTCATCTGCTGGTTTTTCATTTTTTAGATCAACTCACTGCAAATACGAATTTTGCCCTCCATGACTATTTGCTACTCCCTGGATGTCTCCTCAGTCTCTTGTCTTGTGCAGACAAAAATAAACATGGTAAAAAAAAAAATCACCACTCCTTAAATTGTTTATATGGATTTTTAAACTAACACTTAATACTTAATGTTGCTGCATATTTAAGTCAGTTATTTTTTCTTCTGTTTTCAGGACACAATTTATTTGGTTGAGGGGATTTGTCAGAACCCAGAAAGGTAGGAAAGGTTTTATATAATTACTATGATGTTAAGATACAACTTGAGTGTCAAGGTGATGGTTTTATAATATTATGGGTTTTTTTTGTTTTGTTTTTTTTTTTGTTCAAGTAGTCGAGGAGAGCCCATATCTTCTGTTGTTGTCAGATGCTTCACAGAGGCGCTTCCTGAAAACAGGTACCTCATTTTAATTCCTGGACACTTTTCTACAGTAGTTGCAGTTTGTGCAACCGTAATGTGTACCATGTCAGTATAATCTAATTTACTTTACTTTTCTATTATTCCCAGACTTAGCAGACTTCTTCACAAACACATGTTTGAAGAGGCTGAAAAGTTTGCCATCACATTTGAGCTGGATTTAGAAGTAAGTTTATGTTTGTCTGTCATTCTTGTAAAGAGCTGTGAAATTCATGTGACTGATGTGGGCTTTTTGTTCTTTGGCCTTAATGGGCAGTAAAATGAAAGATGTTTGCTATTTCACCAGAGAAGTATGATTTAAAAGTAGAAAAATACTTCAAAAGTAGTACTTTAAAATGGTGGTTCAGCTGGTGGTAATTTTCTACCCTGACTGCAGCCACACACAACTAACAGCCCTATTTTTGCTCAGCTTGTTTACAAGGTGAAGCTTGACTTTGTGCTGGAGCAGCTGGCCTCTGCATCGGTGGGTGGTTATGGACAGGACGTGTGGTCTGAACTTGTGGACGAGGCTAAAACCAACCTAATGAAGATCACAGTGAGTGTAACAATGCTGTTTTGGAGCCTCGTTGAGTACTCGTACCTGCTGATGAAACACAAGTTTTTGAGTTAGTCTTAGCAAATTAAAATTGGTATCAAGTATCAACCCCTTACTAACAGGTTAATTTTCTTATGTTGCCT